AAATTGTGACCGTTTTGGCAATAGTTTTACTCTCCACTACATCAGAAGTCTGGTTTTAGGTTTTTGATTACGTTGATTTTTGGACCAAGCGTTCGTAAAACCGCTTTGGACCAATAACACAAAGTCGACTGCACAACCGTCTATCCGATTAGCAGACTCCGAAAACTTATATTTTCTTGCAACACATTTTATGTCTACCAGTTTTCATAATGCATGGAGTGGTTGTTGCGGAACTGAAGGACATTCGATACATCATGATTGAAACCATTTTGGATCACTCGTTTTACTTTGACCCTGCAAAGACTGGAAATCACACCGTTGCCATATAGCTACTATATAATAGACTATCACACTAAAGAACATATATATATATATATATATATATATATATATATATATATATATATTGTTGGAAAGCTAACTGCATGCTTCGTCTATGTTCCGAATTTTCTGTTAAAAATGTATAAAACCCCCTTGAGATAACTAATCGAAAAAGACAACATGCCACCCTCGCTTATAGACACATGCACGGGCGCGCACACACAAACATACACGCCAGTCAATCAATGGAAGGCTGAAGAGGACGAATAGCCGTAGCTAGGTTGAATGCAAAATATTTACTATTAAAATAGTAGATTAGCTGCAGGAGAGGCTTCTTAGATTTATTACGGGTATGCTACTTAGGACGACAGTTGATTTTCATTGGGGAATACAGAGTTTGATTTCCTCTGTCTTAAATGTTTGGACCTAAAAACCACTTTCAAAAATCCGTTTTCATAGACGCTGCACATTGACATCATCATGTTTGTAACATAGTCGAGGCAGCTGAGACATCTGCTTCATTATTTATTTTTCTCACAATTATTGTTCTAGTTATAGAAATACAGAGATTATAATTTTTTGATAAAAATACCGGTTTTAACTAAGTAGGCCTACAGAGCAGACGACAAAAGTCAACAATGATGTGCCTGGGATACAATGTAGAACTGTTTCTTATAGGTGTTAGCTTGGCGCAACACTTCAATATTTAAAAATGTTTCTTGTTATAACAAGAAAGAATTAAAATAACATTTATCACTGAAACTATACTGCAGGGCTAAATAAAAGAAAATTAACACAATCCACAATGGAATTGAAATTATAGCCTACATGAAATGAAACACTAAGACTTTACTCATAGGTGTTCTGAAATTAACACAAGACTTTGTTATGTCATAACTTTGTGTAAAATCTGCTTTTTCATTACGGATTGGTAGGCCTATCCTATGCCCAGCTTGATTTTCTTCAACATAGGCTACCGATAAAGGGACATAAATAAATAAATAAATAAATAAATAAATAAATAAATAAATAAATATGTCATTGGTAGAAGTTGACAAAAAGTATGTTGGAAGAAGCCCCAAGCAGCATCAAAACCAGATTCATGCTTTATTTTGCTCCAATCATTGCTCTCTTTGCCTTTAATGAATATGTGAGCATGTTATGAAATATTACTATTAGACATCCATCCAGTGGTTGCGCATGCGTATAGTCGACCATTTCTTCCTTCAGGATCAGGCATAATTTAGACAAAAGTTCTGCGGTGCTCAAAGTATCAATACATGCACCGTTTTGGACTTACGTCCTGATGAAATTGCTCACAAACAAACATTGATGTTGTCAAGGCAATCAGAATCTAGAACACTTTCATAACGGAGGCAAACTAAACATATTGCGATAGGTGAGATGATTAGATTGCTACCCACACTGGGGTGAACTCCTCTGTGCTTGATCCTATTAACCGCCAGCTTATGAATTAGGGGCCATTCCCGGACCCTATCGTACTAACTTTGGATAGATCCATCTCCAAGGAGATTCTCGCTAAATTGCTATCAACTTAAACGGCTTACATGTCTGCCACGCCTACTGAAGCTGCTAAGGGGTAATTAATTATTGTTAAGCAGCTTCAGTAGGTGTGTCTTAGCTGCTTCACTCCTCTTTTCATTTGAATACGTGCTGTAGGCCTATATGATTCCCAAACTAACAAAGTCGTATTACTAACTTAGACTTTCTTTATAACTAAAATATCAACACTGTGTAATAATCATTGAGAGTATAACATAGCATGCTGTGAACCAAACTTTATGAGAAAGTTTTGTACAGTCTGTTTTAATATTTGGAAAATTAAAAAAAACTTATTTATTAACAAATATATGTTCTATTCAAGCACCATTTTACAAAGCTCCCTACGGTATTCTGTAAATATGTCGATATGACCAAAAGAATTACACCAAGGCAGGACCTATCTATTCCATATCATAATTTCAAGCCACGCATTTCTACAAATAAATATTCATAATTCGCCTCTTCACTCCTTAGTGGAGCAACATTTCTATAACGTTGTCACGTTTTCATCCTCTTTTCTTATGGGTATCGACATCGTTCTTGAATACAAAATCCGCTCCTTGTACAGAATACTTTATATGCAACTTGATAATCGTTGTGATAATGTGACATTTTGAAAACAGAAGTGTGATATAAAGTAAGAATTGCTCTCAGTCCCATAACAGAAAGCCCGACAGTAAACGTTCATATTGATGCAAATCGCCTGTACCCTCCTAGTGTGACAGTTAACCTATGTTGTTATAAAAAAAAACATACAGTGTACTTCTCTAGTACTCGGTGTGATAGCAAGCGTGTGTAATTATAAGAAAAGTCGCTGCAAGTGTCATGGCACTCCATGGGATAGCAACCCTTCACAGGCCTGTAAGCATGGGAGGGGGTTATAGAAAGAAACCCCATTTTGGCCGGAACGGCTCTGCTCTGAATCATAATTTGACTTCGGTTTTATACCATTTCCCAAGCTGGATCTACAAAGGGAGCGAACAGGTCCTTTTTCAGAAAAAGAACTCCTGTTATGAAATTGCTGCTTTTTTAAGCACATAGGCCTACTGATACTGGGGAAGAGAAGTCACCATCACCCTGGCGCACAGATGTATGCGGATAAGTAGACTGACGCGCACACGTCTGTCCTCCAACAACTAGTAGACTGGTAAACCGCAAGCTGACTAGAAGAGTAGGCCTACTGTCAGTTCTACAATGTTCCAAGTTGCGTCAACGGTAGGCTACGCTATTATCAAAACCCCCTCTCTTTCTCTGACACCGAAAAACAGAGCAAAAGTCCCCGACTTTCTTCTGACTCGCTGTACGACAGCAACCGCGCTCTAAGAGAAACATGTAAGCGTCATTGTCGTTCGTTCGCTCCCTCAGTCATTTCCTGACACTTTGTGTTCTGACGTGTGTCAGATTTAGGTCATTACCACCGTTGACATGATGCCACCGACATAATCCTGAGAAAGTCTGGTCATGTGAAGATATAGGGTAGGATTAAAGACGTTCTCCCCAGCGCTTAGAACGTGAGAAGGGCGGAATAAGAGACGGAGCCAATGCTTGAAGGCTTCGTTTTCTTTTCTGGCTTGTGCTAGGTTTTTCTTGTCTTCGGCGGGTTTATCTTTTTGTTGTTCTTCTTGCTCGTCACCTTCATCATCTTCTTTTTCTTCCTCTTCTTCCCCATCTTCATTTTCTTCTCTTTCTTCATCACCTGCACCTTCCTCCTCGCCATCAGTGTTTTCTTGTTCATCTTCATTATCTTCCTCCTCCTCTTCCTCAACATTTTCCTCCTCCCTGTCGCCTTCATCTTGTTCTTCGTTCTCCTCATCTCCACCGGTTTCTTCCTCATTTGCGTCATCATCAGCAAGCTGTTGTTCTACGTTGCCACAACCACCGTCATCATCATTATCATCATCATCTTCATCGTCCTCATCATCGTAGTCTTCGTTTTCCACATCTAAAATAAAAATGAATATGATAAAATCATTCATGAAATCAACGCACCGATCAAATGGGAAAGGACTGGTACAGTACGGGACGACCTTCAGGAATAAGACTCCGAACAAATGGAGAGACTGGTACAGCACGGGACAACCTTTAGGAATAAGACTCCGAACAAATGGAGACACTGGTGCAGTACGGGACGACCTTCAGGAATAAGACTCCTAACAAATGGAGAGACTGGTGAAGTACGGGACAACCTTTAGGAATAAGACTCCGAACAAATGGAGAGACTGGTGAAGTACGGGACAACCTTTAGGAATAAGACTCCGAACAAATGGAGAGACTGGTGAAGTACGGGACAACCTTTAGGAATAAGACTCCGAACAAATGGAGAGACTGGTGAAGTACGGGACAACCTTTAGGAATAAGACTCCGAACAAATGGAGAGACTGATGCAGTACGGGACAACCTTTAGGAATAAAAATATTTGTTTGTTAAAAAAAGAACTCTTTATCAAGACATACCAAAAGTAGTTGTAAACGATCCCGTTTGGTGGCCTTTTGAGAGTGTTTCTCTTGATGATGATGTCAGAGTTTCGGCAATCTTCGGGTTAACATTGAAATAAGACAGAACCTGAAACACACAAAAACGACATTCAAATTATAATTCATTTACAAAGAAGTGTTTTTAAATATTTTACTTAAGATATTAATTGACAATTCAACGCCTCACATATTCCACAAGAATATACACATTTTGAAATAGTTATTGTTATCAATTCACGCGCTTCGTAAAAGCTATGTAAGGATTTCAATGGTGTAAACAAATGATTTTACAATTTAACAAACATGAGTTATCTGCGTACACTATTTGTATTTTGAGCATGTAATTTTAAGTGTTGCCACCGAATGGCATGGCGGAAATCTATATGATCCTCACATATTTTGTTTGGAAATTTGAAAAATTTTTCCTTCAATACCATACCTCCTTTCCACTGGGCATTCCACTGTCATTCCATGGCATAAGCCATATCGCATGGGGGCCGTCCCCTTCGTTGCCATATGCCATTACGTTACACTCAAACTTTGCAGATCTAAAAAACAACATTTTAATTTTCATTCTCTTATTCTGTGCAAAGGTAATTTTTTGTATAATTTTCAATATCGAATGTTATTTTCAATTGATTTTCATGATTTCTCCTGGATAAAAACCTGATAGCAAACAGTGTTCTATGACTAAAAACAATTGCGTTGAGAGAGAGAGAGAGAGAGAGAGAGAGAGAGAGATTGAGNTTGACAATTCAACGCCTCACATATTCCACAAGAATATAAACATATATAAAACAGTTATTGTTATCAATTCACACGCTTCGTAAAAGCTATATAAGGATTTCAATGGTGTAAACAAATGATTTTACAATTTAACAAACATGAGTTATCTGCGTACACCATTTGTATTTTGAGCATGTAATTTTAAGTGTTGCCACCGAATGGCATGGCGGAAATCTATATGATCCTCACATATTTTGTTTGGAAATTTGAAAAAAATTTCCTTCAATACCATACCTCCTTTCCACTGGGCATTCCACTGTCATTCCATGGCATAAGCCATATCGCATGGGGGCCGTCCCCTTCGTTGCCATATGCCATTACGTTACACTCAAACTTTGCAGATCTAAAAAACAACATTTTAATTTTCATTCTCTTATTCTGTGCAAAGGTAATTTTTGTATAATTTTCAATATCGAATGTTATTTTCAATTGATTTTCATGATTTCTCCTGGATAAAAACCTGACAGCAAACAGTGTTCTATGACTAAAAACAATTGCGTTGAGAGAGAGAGAGAGAGAGAGAGAGAGGGAGGGGAGAGGGGACACTACTCACTTCTTCTTCAGGGTGAGCAGCTTATCAACAGCGATGGTGAGGGTCGCAAAATGCTGGCCTGTGTCGCCATCTGGTAGCTTAAACCCAGAACCTACAATAATGCCACACTTCAACAACACTGGAAACGGTTTGAACACGTAGTACTCGGGGTTACCTTCCTCAACGAAATAGATGAAAAACCGATCACCCTGCCAGTTGGCAAGAACCTCGTCAGAAGAAGGATCATCGGCAGCCTCTAGATCATAATGACTCTGCACATACCGCTTCCAAAACGAGACTCTGTTGAGGATACGACTCCAAGTTTTGCAGACGCGCAGACAACGCAAAACGTCTTTTAAGTCGGAAAGTTTTAGGACGATTTCTTCTAATATATGGCACGGCAAGTTGTAATCTGGGAGCGGACTTTCGCCTTCTGTACTGGTGGACTTGGATTGTTCCATGCCCTGCAATTATAAAATGCATAGACATTCTGGAAAAAGATTTTAAACTCTTGTCAGAGCATTTACGCCCACACACGTGTTAATCGTGATTCTGTTATCAAATATAACAGTTTCAGTAACATCCAAATCGTGTTTTATGGAAACAACTTTCATTTATCTTCTATCAGGGTCAAATCAAAACATTTTCACTGGATAACTACATATTAGGCCTACTCTGACTCTCTCTCTCTCTGCACTTTTCTGTAGGTCCTACTAGGGGCCTACATGAAGGAGAATTTTTGAAGAGAGAGGTAGAGCATTAAAACAGTTCCAACCAAATAGTAAAATGCTGATTATTTTATCATTATAACAATCAAAATTTCCAGGCTCATACCAAAAGGGTTGGGTTGGGGCTGTCACACCAAACAGAGAGGGGGGGGGGGGTCTGTTTTACTTACAACGTTTCCTCGTTCGTCTAGTTTTGGTCTTTTTTCAGGTCTTGTTAAACTGGATTGGCTCTGTGATGTCTGCTGAGACTGACTCATATCATTTGATATCAATATCTAAATAAAAGAAAGTATAAAGAGTAAGCCCTAATGAGGTGATATACTGGTTATGAAACTCAAATTAAAACAATCCCTATTAAGACATTTTCTATAGGGTCCTACAGGACGCCCTATAGGAAATTGCACCGAAATCCTATAGGGTCCTATTGGACAAATTTCTTAGATAGGAATCCTGTAGGACGTCTAATAGATTTCCTATTGATTTCCTATTGATATATATATTCTTAAGGGTTGTATTGTGTTATATTGTGTAATATGAACATAAATTGTCCCGTCCATAAAAAAAACACTACATACAGTATGCCCACAAGTCATTCTAATAAACCGAAACAGAAATCGCCAGTCGGATGGTCAGTTCACCCATCAATTAATTTACAGGTGTGTGTAACGAAGTTTAAAATCGTTCCCCGGAGTATTTCATTAACTAGAGATTATAAGTAGCCTAACAGTTAAAGATACATGTAGGCTGCTGATGCATAAAACAGACCCGAAGACGGAGGGCGCAAGGGCGATTGAGAATTTAATACATACAGATAGGCTGGAAGGGGGGGGGGTAAATTGAAATAAAATTTAATTTATATTTAAATTTTGATTTTTATTAAAAAAAAAACACACACTGAGATCGCCTCTCAATCTTAAGCATCCTGAATATTTGACTGAGTTTTCAATATCATCATGCGAAGAGGTAACTCTCTCAAATCAAATCAGTCTGTTTATGTTATCTACGAATATACTTTTCTATAAAATCAAAATATTTCCAAGCGAACCATGTGTGATCCTTGCACTGACTGATCCAGTAGAGGGGCGTACACAGTACGCAGTTTTCCATTCTGGTGCCCGTACACCCTGTCCTGCTTGTGCTACTAATCACAGCTAACTGTTCTCGTTTACTGTTTTGTATTACTATTTGTCGAGCGAAGTGGAGGAAGACCGAAAGAAATGTAAGCCCTATGCCCCCACCCCCCTTCCCTATACTGAATTCAAACTGCGGCGCATGTTAAAGCAACCACGTACTACCAGGGCCGCAGATTAATTATGTGTCCTGTTTTACACGAGACTATCGTGTTATGAATAATCCAGAGACATATTCATGTAAATCTAGTGAAAAATTCATCTGTGACTCTAGTAGAAGGTAGCAACCACGACACCGCGCGCGTTTTCAGCCGAATAATTGAAGCTTATTTCACTGACCTACATTTACGGATCCTGTTTCTTTATTTTTAAGCATATCGGCAAGATCGTACACATATGCACTGTTAATAAAATCTGCTGACAGTGAACTGCCAAGTTAGCTGGACTTCTGTAACATGTGCTTATATGACGATAGAGATACCTACTTAGGCTACTGATACATGTTTGCATTTGGAGCATCTACTGCCCTAAATTCAGATAAACTACTGTCTAGGCCACCATGTCGTGCACGCTAGATCTGCGTAAATGCTTTATATGTTGACGTCATTTTATGTAACCTCGTAGTCTAGATATCCGGCAAGAGGAAAACGCACTACGGGGCCTTTAACCGTACGCATCGAAGTCAACCTACCTCTAGTTATGAAATGACTGCCGGTGAAATGAATGACCCAAGTCGCCGCGCTTTCCGTCTGCTACATGTATTGCTCCACTTCCGCATTCATATAATACTGACTCAAGGTCTGCCCCAGTAGTAGGTCGATCTTCTTACAATCGCAATATGCTAAACATTCAGAGTTCAATATTTCAGTGCCAGGCGGTGTGGTAATTAGATGCGTTTCCTATTGAATTAACCCTTTGGAAGTTTTTTTTTCTACGTGTATTAGCTACCGAGGTCATATAGTTTTGTGAAAACGCACGCGCGCGTGCGTGTGTGTGTGGCGGGGTGGAGGGGAAAGGGGGCTTTTTAACTATTGTAATCGGTCAACCAAAAAGAGGAAAAATTGTCGTCTTGGGATATATATATATATTCCAAAATCAGACACTATTTTTTGCTTCATATTTAAATTAAATTTAATCTACGTATCCTTATTCATGAAGAAAAAGGAGACAAGAAATTAACACAATTTCAAAATTTTAATTTATAAGTTGTTTTTTATTCCATGATGATACCCTTCCCGTTCTACCATTAAATTAACAGACAATAACATAATTATTAACTGAACACTTACAATTCCTACATGCCTTTTTCCACGTTTGTTGTGTTTACAAAAAGCTGAAAAAAAAGGCAGAGGAGAGGGAGGGGTTTCTTTCTTTTGTAATGTATTCAGACATATTCAAACCATACTACATATGGAATTTACAGGTTAGACACTATCCATCCTGGTAATTCAACTGAAAAACTTTTTCACTGTTTTAAAACAGTGATAAGCTTTTTCAATTACTAATGGAATTTAACAAATATTTAATACCCCACCCCTCTCAGCTTGATCAGTACAATCAGGAATTTTCACATCCCCACATTCTGTCATTTAACAAACAAACATGGAGGTGTAAAGTAAATGTTCCTTTTTTAACTCTTTCATTTATAATGGTAACAAAAAGTAAACAAATGAAAAGAAAAAAAAAAGAATAATCTGTGTATTATGGAAATATATACAGGTCACACCCTGTGGGCCCTCATACTGGTAGGTCACTAGGTCACACCCTGTGGGCCCTCATAGGTCACACCTTGTGGGCCCTCATAGGTCATACCTTGTAGGACCTCATAGGTCACTAGGTCACACCTTGTAGGACCTCTTAAGTCACTAGGTCACACCTTGTGGGCCCTCATAGGTCACACCTTGTAGGACCTCATAGGTCACTAGGTCACACCTTGTAGGACCTCTTAAGTCACTAGGTCACACCCTGTGGGCCCTCACACAAAAATAGGAACAAGGGCAAGGAGAGTCTTCTGGTCTGGATATGTGGAACAAATTAAGAGACATAACTTATTTAACTTAAATATTTAACTTCTTATAATAATAATAATAATAACAACTAAGTAATAACAAAACCTGTGGCCCTCATAATAAGTGGCTATCATAAATAGCTTTAAATAACTAAAAAAACTAAATGACCAATGAACAAAGTCTTGCACCAAACATATAGCCAAGTTAAATATGAAATTAACTAAAGACCTTTTTACATCGAGCGTGTATACTTAACTGGCCCAGTCCACTAAGGCTGGTTCTTACAAGGAATTCTTATACAGGGGTTTTACTGCCTTTCACAGGGCACCCACACCTCTCTCCCTGCTGTTCAGATAAAAGTTCATATGTCCTATGCCGAGGCTGCATTTAGGGAACTCCATTGTGTCACAGAAAGGCTATTCAGATGCCACTCTCTCCAAAACTGTCCTGTTAAGTATACCATATGATGTCAAAAGGATCAAAGAGAATAGAACTTATCTTTCAATGATTTAAGTCTAAGAGGGTGAGGAGAGAAGTGACAGGTCATGAACATAGTTAATGCAAACCCCTTTTTTCTTGCTAAATCTAATTTGGTATCGATGAGGAACAAAATATTAATTAAGACCCCCAACCTTCTTTGACCAGTGGTTTAGCTTGTAGAAAAAATTGGAGTGGATGTTTTAAAAATCTTGAATATGCAAGCCCTGAAGGGGTATGAGGAGGGTGGGGGGGGGGGGGGGAGATAATTATAACACCCAAATGATCAGATTTCTGGGTAAATCCGAAAGACTTCCACTAGAAATAACTGAAATTTTGAAGAGCAGGTTCAAAACCAAAGGTTTATATTCTTTACCAATTGCCAACACATAAATATAATACTTGTCATACAGACAGATGTGTGCACCAGGAAAAGACCAAGTCCCCTATAAATACTGCAAATTTCCATTTACTGCAAGTGATTCCATTATGTACGTTGTCCTTCATTTTCTCTCTCTTGGTGTCTTTACATCACAATTAGCACCATCTGAATAACACACTCTCCATATTTACAAATGCCAACTGAAATCTTTACACCTTTATATACAATAAGACCACTCGTAGTCCTGTTTAATTAATAGAAATACATTTGTTGTGTGCCAACAATACAACGGTTACTATGTATTTCAGCCATTACTCACTCACAATGTGATCTTAGAAATCTTTAACACTGTCATCCAAGTATCTGGCCCATATCATTGGCCAAAATATGAATGGGGCTTGTCTAGGGCCTTTAGAAAAAAAACTGTGTGGATATTAGAACATATTAAACAACATATCCCAAGCAGCAAGCTATTTGTTTCTTTCTTAAAAAGTAGTTTAGTGGATAAAGTGAAATCTTGTGGGTCGCTTAACAAAGATCCTAATCTTGAAAGAATCTGATGTTGTCTGAATGCCCACAGCCACTGTGAATGCTTAGTAATTAAAAGATATTTCGCCACAGAACAGACAAGTTCCAGGATTAACTGGAATCAAATCTGTTTCAGTCCATATGCTGTTATAATGGAAATGACAGTGCCATGTATTGATAATAAAGGAAAGTCATTAGTTCTCTGAAACTTGAGGTGGACAAAATGAATACACATACACCACTGATACAAACCACAGTCCGTGTTCTATCATAATTTGATGACCAGTTAACATTTAATCAAGCAACTGATCTCAAAAGAGAAAGCTTTCCAAAGGTACAAGCTCACCCGACCATGCCAAAACTCTGACAACAATAGAGGCTGTGTATTTCAAGCACAGCACGACAAGGGCAGTTCTTCATGAAATCAATAAATTTCAAAAGTTAATCACAGTCTTCATTACAAAGAAAGCAGTCTTCCCTTACAATGCGTGCAAGGGTGGAAGTTTCTCTCCGAAAATGCAACATTCTGAACCATGTTTGGATTTCCAAGTTCATTCAGCAAGTGCATAATTTTATGAGCAGTTTCGTCTTGTGGTGTCCATGTTGACTGCTGCTCTGGATTTTTAGCAGCAGGGTTGGGAGAAGAGGCAGCAGGTGTCGATTTTGACTCAGTTTTTGATGATGATGGTGACCCTGCGATAACTGCTTCTACTTCACTAACATCACTGTCAGAACTGCTGCTACCATAATCAGGCCAATCTGAAAATATAAACAAAAACATCAAGTTGAAATACTCTGTAGATGACAGTATTTAATTGGGCCTTCAAATTTTAATCCACTTCCCAGGTTCTACAAGGTATTGTTGATATTTTTTGCATTTCAGTCATTGGCATAAATAAATAAATAAATAAATAAATAAATAAATAAATAAATAAATAAATATCCACCGACAAAAATTAAATATTATTAAATAAAAAATATCTTTAAGACCTACCATCTAATTGTGAGCTGTCCAGTGTCCCATTGATGTGTTTTTTCGTCTTGGCCTGTGGCCCAGTGTGTGGCCCAGTTTGTGGAGAGGGGGTCTGGTTGGCACTGTGGTAAGTCTGTAACATATTGCGTTCCTGCATCAGCTGGACTACCAATGCTTGAAGTTCTCCCAGTTTATTCTGAAAATATAAATAAAAACAAATGAAATTTAATATTATTTAGGAAAATTGACATTCAAATGCTGATGATCATGGAAAATAACATATTGGGTAAACTGATGAATGGAATTTATTTTATCCAAAAGAAACTAAAAAAGTACAATCCCCATGCAAACACGCATTTGTACATGTTTCTTACCCTCATTTCTTCTCTGTCTAGAGATAACCTTTGTATATAAGCTTCCTTCTCCTCTTGTTTCTGTCTCAGTGCTGCCCTCTGGTGCTGATACAGACTGACATATTCACCTGATAGTAAACAAAAGGAATAAGCGGTCAAATTAAAATCATCTGTGTATTTTTTCTTCATTCACATGATAAGTATTTAATTAATAACAGACAATAACAAACTTGAATTTCATGCTTTAGTTGTTGACTGTTCCTCAATACAATACAACACAATACAATACACAATACAATACAATACAATACAAATAGGAGCATACCTATAGTCTCTGTCTCTCCCTCTAGTTGCATAGTTAAATGCTCTAGCTGCTCATTTCTATCAATGAGCTCTGCCTTAGCTCTCATTGCACTTGTATATTTGTCCTGGGGAGAGAAAAAAAAAAACAATATATATCTTAAATTGGTAATATTACTGAAAGCAAATGCACCAAACAAATGGTTACAAATACAAAGAGAAATTCACATAAATAAAGCTATGGAGAAACATAAGAATAAGAAGTCAAAATCTTGGCCCAAATATCTAAGTGGTTCAGCCATTCTCATCCTACCTCCAGTAACTCCATGACATGCTGAAGAGATTCATACTGCTCCTTAGTTATCACTTCTCCATTGTGAGTGGCTGGGACTGAAATAATTAAAACACAATCCGGAAATAGACAAACAGTCATTTTCATGAATGTACAACATTTCAAATCATTAACAAATAGAAAAATCACTCATGCCAAGGCAGCTTAATCCCCATTATAAGCAATTATTTGGTTAATTTTTTAGTGAATCACCAAATCCCATTTCTGACATATCCTGAAAAATTTAACAGAACCCATTCGTAACCTTTGACTTACAGTACTTAAAAAACAAACAATCCGAAAAACATATTAACCTCCTTGTGGATGTAATAATGATCTCAAATTGGCGTACATCCTAACCATAAGACTCAGTACTATTAATCTATATAATAATATATTATATCTCATCTACAATACAACACAGACAACACATAATAATATGTTACACCTCAGCTGCTCAAAATATTCACAACATCCACAGTTTGATAAAAGGGTTTCTCGGTAAAAGGGGAGGGGGGGAAGACAAAAATTTAATAATAAAAAAACAAGTATTACAAAGTAATTTGTTAAATTAAAACAAGGTGGAAGTGGCATATGATTTACATTAGATGGTAGTAAACCTTATAAGTTTAGGGGCCTGAAATGAAGAAAGTTCCCAGCTTTTAGAAATGCCAGCTGCCACACACCAATCTGAGACCATTTCTCCACACTTACCTTGACCCTCAAGTTTTTTCTCCAGCTCATCTTTCTGTTTTTCTGCTTGTTCCGCCTTCTTCTTAGCTTGGTAATGTTTCTCTTGCTCCTCTTCATATTGCTGTAGGATCTGGTTTCTTTCCATCTCTAACTGTTGTATGGAAGCTGACAAGGAGGCAACCTGTGATAAATAAAGTCAAGTGTTAAAGAATAAGAATAAGAATTTTATGAAGGAAAGAATTTCACCAGATGAGTTTAACATTAAAGATGTCATTTATCAAGACGCAGATATGTGAATCAAAATGAATTATTGGTAAATTCAACCTATTTTTGCCTTTAAATAATAAATCACAGAGTTCCTTTTATAAACAGCCACAATCGTAATTTTTTATTTCCAATATCAATAATGAAAATAAAATGATAATAATAAGGCAACAAGAACCTTCAATTTTTTATTAAAAACCATTAATAAACATATATGGCAAGAAACTTTTGATGGACAAAATGCCTCTTCCACTCACCACATCGTCTTTCCTGACGCCATCTGCCGTGGTGATATTTCCCAGTTCTTTCTCTTTCTCCTGGGATTTTGCCAGCATGGTTCTGAGGTCGCTGTTCTGGGAGGTCAGGGCATTGATGGCATCCTAGCAGTAGAAGAGGACGTAAATTAAATAAGTTAACCTTGCCTTGAAGGTTTCTTATCTGAGATTCTACTGCCAAATTTGATTTTCATGGAGAACGACCCGACCCTGCACTTTGATCTAGTTTTTTTAATACTTGTTCTGATTAAGTTAGTTTAAGTTAGTTTTAAACTTGTAGCCAGACATTTAGACTACCATGTTTTCCTGTGCATTTCAGAAGAAAATATACACATCAGGTACTTTTATTTGATAGGTTTTTGCGGTTCTTAAGGTCTGAATCAGGGGGAAACACATGTAGACAGTCGTCAGACATGATATGGGGCATTTTGCATTTTAAAGCCTGAATAGTATACCAGTCCCGTAACTAGAAATCCTCTGCACCCCCCCCCCCCCCCCCCGCTCTGGATCAGCCATTGCCAAACAGAAACCAACCTGAGCAGCAGCTAAATCTCTCTGCAAGTTCTCCACCAACGTCCCCTGAGCCTCGTAATGTCGCATTCTGTCCTCCAGCTGCTCGTGCTGGTAGTGCTGCACGCTCAGATGCTTCAAGTGCTGTAACTCATGCTCTTTGTCAGCTAACTGGATATCAGTCAAAGAAGAAACTTTTATTATTAGTAATGAAAGTGCATAATAATAATAATAATAATTTTTAAACCATGTTGCACTATTTGTTGACTGAAAATTAGTTTTTATATCATGAAAAATAAAATAACAAAACAAAACCTACATCATTAAACTAAAATCTTTGACTGACAATAAGCAGTGCTGGGGTATACTGCATGACTTACATTTTTAAACACCACTCTTACATCTTCAACATTACACGCGACAATTCAATCTAATAAATTCAATTTACATTAATTTATGATAGTTAAATCATTTGAATTATTCCCTCATAAACTATCTTAAAAGTGTTAAATTTTGCATGCAGATATGCCAGTCATTAAACAGAGTTCATAAAATTATCCACCAGCTGCTTACAATAAAATGTTCTCATATCTCTTTGAGTTCATCCCCCTGCTAGGAGTCTGGTGGCCAGTTCGCAGGACATATGTTATAGTGAGTACTTACATGTTCTCGTATCTCTTTGAGTTCGTCTTCCTGCTGGGAGAGTCTGGTGGCCAGTTCTCTACACACATGTTATATTGAGTACTTACATGTTCTCGTATCTCTTTGAGTTCGTCCTCCTGCTGGGAGAGTCTGGTGGCCAGTTCACGGGACACATGTTTCTCTGACTGTAAATCAGTGGTCAGCTCCATGCTTTCATTGCTCTGAAAGTGAAACATGGGCATCGACATTTTAGTTCTAAAGCAAAATCATATCTTTCATATTTGTAGATAATTTAGTGCATTTATATCTTAAACATACTCTAAACTATAAGTACATATTTTTCTTTGAAGACCACATAACAGAAATCATTGTAACTTTCTGGCATAAATATACTAACTGAATCAATAATATTGATCATGGTTAACTCATTTGGTTTTCACACATCATTTAGTAAATCTTAATTTACTGAAGCCAATCCAAATGTGCTCATAAATAGATTTTTCCCCAATATCATTTCTAAAATAAAACACACATACAGAATATATAACCACATATATATATATAAATATCGAGGCTTATTAAAATTTCATTTATTTAATTTTCTTTTTTGCTATCATTGAGAGTCATATTTTATTCCAAATTTAAATTTCCTATCACTTAATATTGATACATGATGTTTCTTAAGCCAGCACCTACCAGCTTTACAAAACCATTTTGCAATTCAGCTAGCTGCTGTTTCAGGTCCTTATTTTGTGCCATTGCCCTACTCAGGGCCACCTTGTCACTCTGCATGCTCTCTAACAGTTCATCTTTGTCTATAGAGTCCTCCCCAACTCTGGACAAGGTGCTTTCCAGTTCCATGATTCTTCCTTCTTTCTCGCTTATCAACCTGTGAAATTATTTTTAATACATAACTTATTTATTCTGTTACACAAAAATGATAGAGAGTCAAGTGAGTTTTAGCAAGAGGCCATTTACATGGAAAAGAACTACAAAATTTTTGTTGCAAATGTCAACATATTTCAGCTCAACACCACAAATGAGTCATCTAAAAGAACTGAGTTTAGTGAAATAAATAACTTTGTGCAGAAATAAAAACTGGCTAACTTATCTCTGAATATCAGATCATACTTTATTTATTGAAACACCCAATTTTGAACTTCTTTGCATTATCAAGTGTTTAATTTGAGTGTTTCCAATGGCTTAAAATAAATGTAAATCTAATATCCAAAGTCAATATAGAATAAAAATTCTATGCCAGAGATCCAAACATATAATCAAACTATTTTCAGCTTACCTGCTTAGCTGTGAGTTGTCATTAACCTGAGTTTGATACTTCCGTGAAAGGGCGTCATATTCCACCTTCAACTTCTCGATTTGTTCCAGCACCTCAGGACTCGCTACTTCTGCTGGCTTTGATTGGTCATTAAGTTCCTCTGCCTTCTGTGCCTGAGCTTCTAAAATGTTTACACAAAACTTGAAGAAACAACAACAAATGAATGCTGCTTATTAATTTAATCAAATGCTGTTCCATGCCGGAATGAGAGAATCTCTTCAATGCTAAGTTTGTAAATTATAGTTTTTCTGCTTCTTACACAATGCATTAAATTAGAATCCATATATAATTAATCTTTCATCTTTTGATTCCGCTTTGAGCTAATACCTAGCCAGTATCTGTGCTGAGAGAGAGAGAGAGAGAGAAAAAAAGAGAGAGCACACAAATGACAATAACCCCACAATCTGTATATTCCACATTTACAACTAATTCATGCTATTTCCAAGTCCCCCATATCCCCTCACACCAGCCTGCCCCACATACCTGCTTTCTCCTGGGCTGTCTTCAATGCAGCTTCCAACTCCTGCTCTCTTAGCAACAGCTTCTCTTTCTCTTCAGTCAATACATTGATCTGGAATAAATGGACAGTGAAAATCAATAGGCAGTGTTCAAACCTGGAACCAATGCAAATCCCAAAAAACATCAAAAATGCTGACAGAGTTTTTTTCAGGTGAAATTATGCCTAAAAACTAACAAATGAGGACCAAAAATCCCCTGATCCTTAATACAAAAGTGGAGAAATACCAGACAAGATAACACAGTAACTGTTCTAATTAAAAAGATATTTACCATGATAACATGACCTAACCATCTCCAACCTAGTTATTATCTGTTTATTGCAATATTTATCAATGTTGGTAAAAGCACTAACTAAAATGCAGCCTAGGTTTTGTAAGCTACCAACTTGAATTAATCAAAAGAGTTTGCAAACAATTTATCTGGGGCACCATGATAAGAAACATGTGTCAATTTTATAGATAAATTTCATGAGTTATATCTGTAATTAACTATTTGCTTTCATAGAAAGCATATGTAAGTTGGTTTTATTATATTATAATCAAGACATATAATATGTAACAGTATATAAGCTGAACTCTACCAACCCAAGCAAACTCTCCCGTCATGAAAAGGTTTAATTCATAATATAAATACATTATTGCCTGAAGCTGATCTATGAATTCCATCTTTATCTCTGCTATCTAAGGTGGGAGCCGGCTATTGTAGTTGCAGCAGATAAATACACTTACTTGGCAGTGATAGTTATTATGTACACAGAGACTAACCCATAGGTGAGTGCTAGTTGTATGAAGAAACTATGGCTTGCTTTATATAAATATTGTCTAGCATGAGACTTTTAAATAAATAATATTTTATATAATATTATTAAGCACCACTAAATAAACATGACACCACAGTGAATTTATCAAACAGACAGCATACACAATTTCACTCGTATGATTATTGCCTTCTTTGATCCTTTTTTTTTCACCAAAACATATCTGATTATGTATTTTTCTCTAACTGCTTAATTTACTTCAAGCCTGCCTGACAGTCAGATTAAAATAATAATAAAATAGCTTCATTTAATAACCATATTAAACTGAATACATCTTTAATTGTTTATCTAGCCAGCTTCAGATATTTGTGTTGATATATATGACAGAAAAATCTTTTCACTAAATAAAAACACAATGACATGAATATTTGAAATCAACTAAAAGGTATGGCATAGTTAAACTCTGCCCATTCATATGCCAAATATATGTTATCATTAGCACCAGAACCAGACACGAATATATTTTGCAGTCCATGACATAAAGTGCTCCCATACTATTCCCACCTGTCAATGCTGTCCCTCCAATATTCAGGCCTCTTCACCCTGAAATCACGTTCTGTTATCACATCAACATAAAATTCAAACTTTTTTCTCAATAAATGCCACTTCACACTCATCACCAGATTTTTGGGTTGCCCCATAAAACACTGCCCACCTCACTAAGCTGACAGAACTAAATATAGCACCTAAACATGAAATTTACTTTATAAAACCCTGTCTAATACCACCACTACAAGGGCCTTATATATTGTAACTGTAAATTCAACATCAATACACTACTGCTTAAGCCAGAATGAGTTTAAACTTACAGCTGAATGTTAACGACACCTTCTTAATGGTGCCACACAGGCAAGCTAGTTGATATCATATTGACCTTCACCTTGACCTAATTTCATGCTCAGGTGTGTAATGAATGTAATATGAAATGTACACAGGCAAATACAGAGTCTGACACAAATCCGGGTCATTGTTGTGTTGCTTGATATACCAATTTCAATGTTAAACGTCATGAAAATTACTAAAAATTATACAATCATATCAAAAACCAGTTTTGTTATCTCACAACTCTACAGTCCAAGTATATTTCATATTAAAAAATCATATTACACATACTACATGTAGAATAGTGTATTAGACATTCTTTTCTGTTCTCTCACTCATATCACCTGAAGAACATTGTCTTTCAATAACTATTGTATCTTAAAATGGAAAATACCACATCCAGTAACTAATTATAACAAGAAATGGGTAAGTCATAATATTGCAACGTCCAGTATCATGTGATTTAATTTGCCACATAATATTATCACATATTCAGGTTAATCCAAAATAAACATGTTCATTATAAACATGCACATATTATAGTTTTGGGATCAATGCGAAATAACAGCTGTAGAAATTAATTAAATATATCTATTGCAATACACCATATATCTTAACCAAATCCCACATAAACAATTCATGCTTAAAAATCAATATTGATCAAATATAAATGAAAAAGTCAGAGCAAATTTGTTTTACTGTTATTGATATATTAGGGTTTTATGATTGAGATATGACAATCATAATAGGACTTTCTTTTCGTGGCAGAAGCCTGTTAAACATTAACTCCAAGCTAGTCCAGTCAAAGCATTGACACTTACACCCCATTTCCATAGATTTTAGATCGATCTATCCCTGTGGGGAGTCTCACTAGATTACTGTCAGCTTGGCCGGCTTAAGCGTCTGTCCCGCCTACTAAAAGCTGTAGGGGGATAATTAACTATGGTGTCCGCTCGGCTGGCTGCAATTTAGCCTGAACCCCCAGAGAGTTAGGTCGATCTAAAACTTAATCTTTAGATCGATCTAAATCTCTGGGAAAGCACCCTTAAGCCCCCTTTACACTGGACAGCGTCCAGAACAAAAAAAAAACATTCTTTACATGCTAACAACTGGCAGAACATTGAGCATCTGCAACCAAAGTGATGCTCAATTGTGCCACAGAACACAGAAAGGATGCAGTTCAGTGTAAAGAGGGCTTTAGTGGACAATGTCCTGACCTAGGTCTAGTGACCAGGCAGACTGCTATACCAACTTTCAGAATCATAATAAGTGAATAATATAACATACTTATAAACTGCATGGCTTAAATATCAGTGTCTACAATTATTGTACCACATTTAATTAACTTATTCTAATTCCTTATCTTTTAATGTAGTAAGTATTTTCAGTAAATTTAGGAATTTATTTTTACCATCCCTGTCTTTTCTTCAGGCTACATTATTGTTCAACAGTTCGTTGTTACAGTTATATACACTGCCATGTGCACTACAATTTAATCTAACTGCTACACTGCTTTTTGATGGTAGACAAAAGCAGGCTTTCATTTCAACATTTAAGGTAAATCAAGAAGCAGAATTGCTTTTATTACTTACAACTTTTACATTCTGGCTGAAATTTCTCGTTATTATTGATCAGCTTCAATCATGTACAATAGTGTTTCTTACCTGGCTGACTAGCTGCTGTTGTTGCTGCTGTAACTGGTTAATATACTGTTGATATTGTTCGGCAAGTTGGTCCCTCTCGGTTGTTAACTTCTGGAATGACTCTGCGTACTGCAAGAGATAATGTAACAGCATGGCTTCATGCTCCAACTTACGCTGACCATCATGGTGGTTTAGAGGCATCTTAGAAATATCGCAACTACAATTATTATAATAGCAATAATATGTTTAAATCCTGGATCATCACTTGTAGTTTCTAAATACAGTTCCAACATTTATCTTTCCAGGTAGACATAAAGTCAGCACTGTGACTGTGTTCTGTCATTAAAAGTCACATACTGAATACCCTGCAGGAAAATTCAGATTAGACACGTGTCATTGAAAATAATGACAACTGTACTCATATATTCTGGAGAATTTTGTCACTCCTTGTCATATTCTCACAATTTCTTCTCATATCGCTTTAAGAAATCAAAAGAACCATCAACATTTTCATCTGAAAATTTTGTCTCTAGTAACCATGGGCTTCCCATATGTGTACATATATAACATGTGGATTGCAATCCAACTTTTACATCATCTGTTTTTTTCATGAATTATTTATAGGGTTTCAAGATAAAGCCCTCATCATAGAAAATGTTTGATTTGTAATGTATGCAGTGCAGCTTTAGCAAACCCCACGTTCTTTTCTAGTTGTCAAATTCTATACAATAATTCCTGCTATGTGACAATTAATAAATAAAAACATAATTCCTATTGTAAAAAATAATTATATAAAAAAATACCTTCACTCTTAGTCATGCCTATTCAATAAGGTGTTTAAGACGTATGTCCAGATGTGTAAGCATAACAATTATAATACCTTTCACTGTTTACAAATACTGGAATGTCATTAAATACAATATAATATTATTTCATATATCAAGAAACAAGTTCATAATTAATTTTTTAACCAAATGCTTAAGGTATGATATATGTACGCTGGTAAGAGAAGAAAAATATGTTTTAAAAAAATAAGGAAATTTATCACAGCAACTGTTTGTTTGTTTTAAAAATTTAAGTAATTTTTTCCAGCAATGAAGTTAGGATAAAATTGTTTTACAGAGCCAAGACTGATACAATGCAAGGTAGTAGCTGTTTCAATGGCTTGTATAGAAATCTGTATTCAAATACTCAACGGAATTATCTTCTGACAGACATGTAAATTATTCAAATACCAGCAACACACTCAAACACATACAGCGTTCAATATAATATGAATTTATATCTTAAGCAGTCAGTTGTACATTGAAATATAACCTTGCCATACATTATACCTAACACATTTTAACCTACTCCAATAACTCAGTTTTTGTATCTTAATTTCTTGTTTATTTATTTAATAAAATTTATTGATTTATTTCTCTATCTATTCATATATTTATTTGTTCCTCACCCTTTTCATATAGCCAATGACAGTACCAGGGTAAATAATAGAAATTAATCATTCCAGGCATTTGAAAAAAAAAGAGAAGAAGGAAAGGGGGGGGGTTATATTTCAGCCTTGCTGTGGTGTCAAAAGCTCCTTACCTGATCCACCTTGGTTTGTAAAGATATTTTTTCTTCTTGGAGTTTTTCCAGAAGGTTGGTGTCTGTCGATCCCTCTTTATTTGACAACTAGAAGTAAAAGAATTGAAAAATTATTTCTAACTTTGACCAAATGACTTTTAATTTTTTTTGGGGGGGAGGGGGATGTTAAAATGTTCTACTTGATCTTTTGTTACCATAAAGAAGTTACTACCTCCAACAAATGTAGAGATAAGACAAAAGAAAACAATAATATTACACTATGAGTTACGTGATATACACATATTTCTGAGGCTAGCGAAAAACTGACAAAACTTTTTTGATTTTCAATTTTAATCCAAGTGCACCAAATTGAATACAATTTGAGTTTATCACAATTGTTAATGCCAAAAACTCACATTAAAGAATGACTTCACACAGAACTGCTTTGAACTGAAATTCACAATGAAGCAAGTAATATTGTATCCAGCCAGTCTTATCAAGCCCAGTGTGAACACACAGCCGATGAGAGAACACTGACCTGCTGTACGTAAACCTCTGTCATCTCCAACTTGCTCTTCAGATCCTGCACTGCCTGTTCTAGGCCTGAGCACTCGGATACTTTGGAATGGAGCTTTTCTTGAAGTTCAGAGTTCTGCTGCTTCGTCTCTTCGCTTGTTTTACTATTATAGATAAAGAAAAAAAATGTCATTCAAATGAGTAAAAAGATTATAAATGGGATTCACATTTAACATGTTCATAATCACATTTTAAAATTCCTATAATCTTTTTATTCCTTCCAGTATGCAAACATCAAGTGATAAACAAATTAAACTTGAAGAAAAATCTCCCCTTCAAAGTTATTTATATTCCAGAGATATGGATTTGCTGGAGTCAATGTCATGCAATATATTTAAAATGTATCTAATCATTTTTTATAAGATTCTATACAGTTTGCATAATACTAACTTAAAGATTCTACACACTTTATACTTACTTGAGCTTGTAGAGGTCAAGCTTTAGTCTATCAATTTCCTTAGAGTATTCTTTTGAGGACTGAAAAGAAAGAAATAGCATGTTACAAACTGTCTAATTGACCATGCATATCTTTTTGACCATTAAAGGCATATAATCAGTCTGCAATGTTATCCACTTGCCTGACTGCCAATGCCAGTCAAAATTGGACCGGACCGGTGCTACTTCTGAAAACAGTCAGTTTTAGCCCCGACTTGGCCAGTAGATATTTTCAGCTTTAACATGTACTCAAAATCATTTTTTAATGTTCAGGCTAAATGTTTTTTTTTAAATCAAACTCCAACTTTCAAACAATTTGTTGCATCAACATCTGTCCATGAGCAAGTAGGTGCAGCATTGGTGGGAAGTATATGCTCATTTTTTTATGCTATCGCTCTGAAAAATGTTGATTTAATTTTACTGGTATTATAATGGAAAGAGTGATGAGTTGTCCAAACAAAACCAACAAGAGGTGTTAAGAAATCTTTCAAAGATTTCTGACAAAGTACAATGGAAGACTATAAAATGTGAAAAAAAAATCTGAATTTCATGTTCTGGTATGTATGGGAATAAATATCTCTTCAAAATACCATATTTTTATTCCAATTTTATAATAGGAAGTCTCTTTAATCTCAATGTTTAAACAAATTTTTGAAAAATCAGAAATTTGACTTCAACAGTGGATTGGGAGACCCTGGTGGCCCGGATGGCCAGTAAGTTGAAAAGTATATGGCACAGACTGTATAATGCATGTTAGATTTCAAACAGCTTAAAAGATTAATTTTCCTGATATTACTACAATTTTACCTTCAGCAACAAGGTTTTCCTTAACCAAAACCATTGAGAATTATATTTTTAAATAATTATAACAAGTAACAACATTCAATCTAAATATAAGCGTGTTAAAAATTGTTCAGTCAGACTTGCTGAAACTGTCCATCCTGTCAGTCATGACTAATAAAATTTTCAAAGACTTGTAGAAAATTCTTTTCAGCCAGTCCAAAAGATGGGCAACAATTTTAAGAGCCCTCATTTTGAATTTAGTCAGTCAGTAAAGCAAAATCTTCCTTCCCCAAAAATTTTTTTAGTTCTCCAATTCAGCAAACTTTCTGTAACTGCCATTCCAAATTTCCAGTTGTATTTAAAAGTTTACAGTATGTCTGTCCAGGTCTTCACATATCAAAGCCAGCCTACCTTTTCAAACTGTTGACTAGATGTAGAGATTGACGATAAGTCCCGCTCAAGGTCAGCCACCCGCTGTCTCGATGCCTTCAGACGCCCAGAGAGCTCCTCTATCTCAGCTACAGAGAATGCAACATATTTAGCATGAGAGATAAAGAATAAATGTTAACTTTATTATCAACATTGACATGGATCTAAAATTCACTCAAGTTTATATGCTACACAGTTCTTTGATTCAGAAATAGGTGACATTTTAATCTAAACAATATGGGAGTTGCGCATTGTGTTAGATATGAAATTCAACTGGGTGTGACATTGCTTTAGGTGCAACACTGCAGTGATTGTGACATTGTTTTAGGTGCAACACTGCAGTGATTGTGACATTGTTTTAGGTGTGACATACTGAGCCTCTGTTGAGCCATGCGCTGACTCTGGTTTACACTAGACTGTAGCTCTGTCTTCTCAGCAACCAGGATGCCTATGGTTTGGATATGAACCTAAAAGAAGTTGCCACAAGTTATTTCATTAAACTAGAAGAAATGATATAAATGCTTGGCTTTTTTCCATTTAGATGTAATCATCGTGTCTTTACAGACGTAGACTTATATCGATGTTTTTCAACCTGATTTTACATTTCAATGCAATCAAATCAAACTTAATAATTCAACTTGAATGTTTTATGCAGCCGTGATGAACAAATTTACCTGCAGTTGTTCTTTTAAAGCCCCCAGCTCTTTCCTCTGTCGTTCCTCAAAGCCTCCCCTCTCCTCCTGCACTTGTTGCTGCAGTGACGTGTTGTGTTTTTTCTGGAACATTTAATAAATTTTAACTGCTAGCTGTTATAGAAAAACTCGAACCTTTGCGCTCCGGGGCATCAAACAGAGCACAGTGACCCCCCCCCCTCCTTGGGCTTGACCTAAATAAACATAACGCCAACACAGGGCATGAGCACCTTTACACATGTATATATTTATTAAGGACAAAATAAAATAGCCAGTGATATTAATAATCTTACAAATAATCTAAAATAAATATAATCCTTATTTTAATGCAAAACAACCATTTCAGTGATATGTGTTTGATAAAGCTTGTCTAGCTATGCCAAGATGAAATATGATGGATGAGAAAGGCCCTTTTGCTGTCACCCTGTCTAGTATGGCTGCCAAAAAAAATCCTGAAAACACAAAGGGGGAAAGGTCAACTGCAAAAGCCACAGGCAAGCAGTGAAAAAAAAATATGAAAGAAATTTTTGTTTATTACCTACAGAGATGATAAAACATTCAATGCCAAAGGTGCATTTCACATATCTAAATTAAGTGTTTTTTTATTATTTGTTTAATTTCAGTGTCTCAACTAGCAGCAGCAAATTATGAGAACTTGACCGCCATTCTTCAAAGAGACCAACAGGAAAAAGTTAGTGAAAAGAGATATCAAAATAATATATTATGAGATGCTTAATGACGTGGTTACTCTGTGTTATCGCATTAGTCATTAGCAGTGTCCAGTCTAATAATCAGTACCTGAATATCATGCAGTTAATATTTAGTACTACTAGATGTTAAACCTAATTACTAGGAAAAAGTTCTTGCAGTTTCAACTCTATCATGAAAAACTCCATGTTTGCATCATATCATATGTATGTGAAAACTTCTAATAATCAATATACAAATACTAACTTCAATTTCTGAAGAATACTTTAAAGTAAATAAAATATTTTAAAACTTTAAGACCAAATTATACCAGAGTGGAAGAAAATGAAGTGACTAATTTAAATGATTTGGAATTTTGGGGAAATTTTTTAAGGTTAACATGTAAACCTCAGAATGGGCAAAGCAAAAATCCATCACAAATGTCAAACATTCCAGATTTTGGGCAGATATGGGGAAAAAAGTAGGAATGATTTTGACTTTCAAGCAAGATGTCCAAAAATATCAGTAAAAAATAATATGAAAAATATCTTTACTGTGAAACCAAATTAATAAAAATAACAAGATGCACAAAAAATGCATTCAAAATTAGAAAAATGAATACATCATTACACACACAAATATATAAATAAAGAAAAAAGTGGCAAATTCTAGATGGGTACCAGATATACCTACCAGCTCATGTATATGCATTGCAAGCTGCCGGTTACTTTGGCTGTGTTTTTCTAATAATGCTGCGAGTTCACGATTTCTAGCCTAGATTCAAATTGTATAAAGAGACCAAAATATAATTTATCTTTTAAACCCCAAATAAAAGAGGACTGCGATAAAATTTGAATCCCAAACCAACAGTGGTATGATTTCAATTTCCCAAAAAGCAAGATGGAAGACAAAAAGCACCAGATATCACCTAATAAATAATAAAAAAAAATATATATAAAAACAGAAACCAATGTAAAAACAACTAATCAAAAGGGATAAAACACAGCAAGTATATTTCTTGCAAAATATAATTCTCTGCAATTTGTTTTCATTTAAAAAAATCAATATAACATTACAAGTCTTTGATTTCTATTTAAAAAAAAAATTAGCTCCATAATCACATTGAACCCTGAGAATCATACATCACAGGCATCAAACATGAGTAACATCTCATCTTTCAGTCTTTCCCCCAACTTTATTTGATCTTTTATTCGCATTAAATTTCAGCTATTGATTTTCTGTCCATTTGGACAGTGTGGGTAAGCATGCTGAGGACAAAATCACAGGAGAATATGAAATAGAACCAAATGTAGAGTATAAGATATTACACCCAAGGTACCACCATACCACAACAGCTGTAACTTGAAAGCATGCATTTGGACTCCCCTCACCAGTGATGAACGAATTAATTATAAGAACATTGAATATCATCAACATCATCATAAGTTAACCTATGATAAGATGAGAAAAATCATGATACTGTGGTAGAAAACAAATTCCCTTTATTGGTCTTTTTTTTTATTTTTTGTTCTGATCAGATTTTCAAAGCAAAATATTGTGTCAAGTTATAAATGCAAAACTTTCCGACCGTTCTCAGGTTTTACAAGAATTATGGATGAAATTGTTCTTTGGGCTAACTTTATAGTAAACCCCAGTTGTTCAAATTAACATAACTTTTTAAAACCAAGAGGATGATGAATTTGTAAAGGTGATGTAAAAAAAAAAACATAAATATATTTTCATACAGAAAAATCATGTACTAGATCTATACTGTTGAAAGTAAAAAAGGGCTGTTTTACAGTTTAAAGTTTTATAAATCTTAAAGTGAACATAGTTGATATAACACAAAGACTGACCTCCAATTCGCCAACAGTGTTATCATATTTGTCGCCAATTGTCCCATTCACATAGGCATCAGACTGAATCAGAAAAAAAATTAATATAATTGTTATCATTATTAACAATTATACTACTTTGCAATACTAGCACATGCACTGACTTTCATGACTATAAACAAGCAAGCAATGTAAGTAATATGTATATCAAATAATAATGGTAGCTGTCATAAACTAGACTGTCTTGTACCACATTACTACTGCATATTTAAAATGAAAAGTGTTACAAATTATGACAGTATTAAAATGAAAACAAGTCCATATAGTACAAATCAAGACAATCTTAATCTGTATCTCTACTTACTATCAATAAATAGAAATATTACAAAATATTATATATTACAGCCGTAATTTAAATATATTAACTATTCTTTACTGTGGAATGTACATTAACTATTATTACCTGTGACAAAAGGCCATTGATCTGTCTGGAGAGTTGTTGAAGACTCTCTGTAGAAGCAGTGGGTCTGAAATGGATGAGAATTGCATTGAAGTCCAACAGAATTTTTTTCCTAAACATACTTTGTAGTCCATCACAAACAACATTTTTTTTCTAAACATATCCCCTAGTATTCATATTTCAGATTTCATAGAAAGAGTTGTTATCCCTTTAATTACTAATGGTAACATTGAATCCAAGTAAAGAGATGGGTTGACAATATGATTAAAAAAAAAAAAAAAAAAATTTTTTGATATGGAAAATTAGATTTGGCTTGAAAATTCATGATAATATACCTCTCACCAGATCCTAGGTATAAAATATTTTACCTGTGGTTGGAATCATTGAGAGGTGGTGTGCTGTACACAGATTGGTCTGGGGTGTCTGTGGATGGGGGAGGACTATGAAGAGGAAAAATCTCATCAAATCTGATTCAGGAACAATTATGACATTTTTACATTTCTTTCCCTGCCTTTACAATCTAACTAGAATTTTGTGAATGCCTATATAAAAGCACATCAAACCCCAAAAATAAAGCACTGTTGTTACAATTATTATTATCATTATTATCATCAAATCATCGTCATTATTATTATCATCTTATTTCTATGCACATCTGACATGAACTTCAACAAGAATCTGGAAGATGTAAGCACTAAAGGCAATATAGCAGCTCTATAGGGGGTTACCTGAGGCTGCCTGCATTCACTGACATGGGAACAGCTTCCACATGGTCCACAGACTGGTTATGAGATTCAGAATTGGCAATGACCTAAAATTTATTATAAGTACTAGTATCTTGATATATGAAGATGTTTTAGTATCACTATTTTTTATAGCTGAAAATGGTAAGCTAGAAATTATTTTTGATTCCTTTCAAACACTGGTTAATTTTAAATAGTTGACAGCTTGGTGCTTCTTATTACTATGTCACTGAATAAAATACAACTTGTTACTTTTGCAAAATGTTTTTTTTTCTTCCTCAACTCAGGCACACATACTTTAAACTCAATATAATTCTTAAGAACAACCTCATCTATTCCTTAAAAATTATGTCTTGAAAATTTTGCTTGTATATATATATTATATTGTCCTTTGCATCATATTATTGTAAGGTCATAATTTTTTTTCGTGTGTTTAAAGCAAAAAAGATAATCAATTAATTTTCAATTATTTTTGTTATAAAATATATTACATTGCATGATGTCCATAATTCCCTCCTTACCTCAGAAGAATGATTCCCATTACTTTTCTTGCCCTCCTCATACTTCTTATTCTCCACTACAGTTGTCTGTCTCTTGGTTTTTGGTTTCTCTCCGGCAGGTGAATTGCAAGGTGTTTTCCCCGATTTCTTCTGAAACTGCTTCAGCTGGAAACAGAAAAGGCCCTAATTATTGCTCATGACATCGGTAGTCTCTTCAAATGTATTGCTGAGTTCCTTGACTTATTCTAGACAGTTAACTTTTTAAAAATGTACAAATTCAATAAAAGCTAAGCACTTGGTGGATCTCCAATCTTGTCTTGGAACCGTAAAAACTGGAAATATCAAAATTACCTTCCTACAGTTCAAGTTACACCATGTAGAGGTGATTTCATTACCACAATTAAAAAATTTTATTCCGTGTTAAATTTAAGAACTTCAGACTGTCGTCCAGAGTGTACGTCTTAACTGTATATAGCCTAATAGGTGAACAATTCAGTTATCTGAAAGCTTTAATAAACCTCAAAACAATGCATCTCAAGAAGTTGTTGGTAATAAATCACCACTCTGGCCATATGACACCAATGGAAGCAAGCATGCATAAAATTTCTATTAGCCTCATGCATTAGATTACCGTCATGAATACACAGCCCTATTACGCCGGTTGAATTCCGTGAAGACGTTGATTAACAAGCCATGCTCAAAGAAACGTAACGATTTAACAAACATCTATATTACTAGAAAAATTTCGCGTTGAATAATCATTTAGTGTTTAAATAAAACGAAGCCAGCTGTTTTGGCGTAAACAACTAAGTTCTCAAAACATTTGGGAGGGGTATCGTTATGCCGCAAGAAATATTTCAGCGTTTCAAGTCGGAGAGAATATTTAATGAAATTAGAGCAACATAAAGTACACATGCGACTTTGATAACTAACCAAATGGCACCCGGCTAATTCTCTCTTTTTACTCATAAATAATTTACCTTCTTGCGAGCAGCAGCCAATTTTTCCTCTCGACTGCTGTCCGCCATGTTGGCCTGCTGACACGGCGGAAGTTTGATTCAGCAGAAACAAAATATCGCAAATAATTTAACATTTTCTTTATCAATAAATAGTTTTGTCAATTTATTTAACTATTTCAAATATTTAATTTTAGAGAGGTATCGAAAACTGCATTATTTCTCTATGTATGATTTATAGATGTATTTCATGTCCGTTATTTTAGAAGATGGCGCGCTCCTTGAAAAGTCAAGAATTTTGCCTCTGAAAATATTTGGATGTGAATATTTTGATTTTTATCTTTTGTATCCTCTCCAGAATAATTCCTTCAGGCACAAAGTTAACTGATGAACCTGCTTATATGATAGATTTAGAGAAATATATGTTTGTGTTTTATTCTAAGAGTGCAAACTACTAGTAAATTACTAACTTACTGGTACAAGTTTCATTACTGGCACCGGAAAATAATTAAAATTACATTTAATTTATTGATCACCGTCATCCCTGCTTCTGAACCACATTTATTGATGCAATTGCACTGACTCCATGTTCTATTTCAACTTGAAGTTCAAGAATAGCATAGATGCTTAGACTGCTGCACATACAATATTTCACCACATTGTCATTGATTCTATACTTATCCAATACTGTCTTATGTAGCATCATTTGTGGATGCTCAGTCAAATTAAAAACCATTTAACAATTATTTCAGACAAGTGATCATGGCTGACATCTCTAATCTTGGTCGATTCAATGGGCAGAAACCCCTGAAAGAGTATGTCACTCCCTACAAGATCGTTCTGCTGGTGCTTGTTAGAGAATACAGAACATTTAAAGACAACAGTGAGAACTCCTTGGCTGATGCCGTTGATGCTATGCAGTGGATTTTCACTGAAGAAGACAGAAAGGATTTTATGACCATGCTTATTTCATTATTACAGGTGTAGTGCCATTGAAAGAATGGGGAATTTAAGTGTTTACTTTTGGAGCAACATGGACTGTGCACATGTGTGTGTACAGGGATGTTTGATTAGTCTGCTCAGGCCCGTAGCCAGGGGGGGTTTGGGGGGTTCAAAAGAACCGCCCCTTTTGCTGGGAAAAGGTCCACTCTGGGTAAAATTTGATCTAGGTACATGATGATTTTATGGAAAAAGGTCCACTTTTTCAGAAAACGAACCCCCCTTTTGAAATTGCTGGCTACGGGCCTGCTGCTCATATGAGTGCGGATGCATTTCTTTGCTCCTTGATTTACTGTCAGACATTCATGTCCTGGCTATATACCATGTTACCAAATGCAAGTAAATGGAACCAGATACTTTTATCTATTGTAACAAGTGCAAGATCTTAAAATGTAATTTTTGTTTAATCAAACAATCCATTGTCAAAAATTCTGTTCCAATTTTGGCTGTTGTAATTTATGTATAACAATTCTGGTCTTTTTTTTTCTAATAAAGATCCCTAAGTTATCAAATGTAAGTTGTGAAATGTTGACTTCTTCATCTTACAGGCACCTGACATGGAACTGAGGGAGGTTGTCCTTAAAGTGCAAGAAATCCAAAGACCAAAATACTTAGAAGTTTTTTTGAAAAGGTATAATGCTACTGAAATGCATGTCTGGATTTTAACAATATAATTGTACAGTATGCAAAACGATTTTTTTATATAATCAGTGGCTTATTTTAAAAATGGAGTCTGCCTGAAGCTTCAGATATTTTGATGTTTATCCAGAGCATCTCCTTCAAAAAGGATATTAGAACATTTAATTTATTTCTAGTGCTCAGAAATTCTCTGATTTACACTTGTACAATTTTGTAAAACAGTTGTTGAAAAAAATTACTATGATTACATAGCCTTGAAGATATAGATTTAAGTTTCAATTTATGTATGTAAAGTTTTGAATAACTAATTTTTGAGATGGGTATCATGCAGATCTCAACTTTTAGAGCAAATAATTTTAGTCATTAGTTCAGTTAAATCAAAAGTTAAAAATATTAAGTGTTGTGCCTCTTTTATTAAACTTTAAGGATAGAAATGTCAGATTTTTAGACCATTAGCAACATGCTATTATTTGAAATGGGAATTATTAATTTAGTTCCCCATTCTTTCTGTTTTAGGCTTGAATATTTAGCAACTAATGGGATAATGGCTTTGATGGATTATTTCAAAGCTCTGAGTGAGATGTTCGAAGAATCAGAAGATCAACCTGGAAAGTTTTTGGTCAGCAAAAGTAGTGTCATTGGTAAGTTAAGATGGTGCTTCTGGTAGAATTCTTCCATTGCAGGAAGTTGTGGGTACTTTTCCCATGACTTGACCATATCAAAGGCTATCATAAAAATGGTACCTGCTGTCTCCTTGCTAAGCACTTGGAATATAGAATACAGGCAAAAGGAAAAAATGGGTCAATGTTCATTAAGTATAAACATAGCATTTCTCACTGCATTCTCAGACTTAAATATAAGCTACAAGAAGCGCTGTTGTAATATGGTAGAGTTTACTGTTGAAATTGGTTTTCCCCATTCGGTTATGTTATTATTTTATGTCACTAGATACAAGTGGGATTTTGTGGTACAAAGAGAAGAAAGAGTTCTGGATTTACTGAAAATTTGGATATTTGGTGTATTTTTTCCCCTGAACCCCTTATATAAATTTGTGTGCCTTTGACACCTGCATTTTGAATTTCATGATTTCTTATTAAGGTCCACTTCAATTTTAGAGTCTTTGTTACAATTGTAGGGTTATTTATCAGAAGAATGGGACTGGCATTTGACAAACTTTCCTTTAATATGGTGACCAAACTGTGCCAAAGTTACAGGAGATACTTCAGGGCATATAACAAAGACCAGGAGAATGGAGATGTGCCTTCAGAACTGGGACTGGAGGCATCACATAAACAGCAAGCAGAGGTTTATGAAAGGTGAGGAATTTGACAGTCACAACTCACTGTATATTGACAAATTAATATAATAATATAAAGGGTTGTAATCATAGAGTATTGAATACACATGTTCATGTGGGGTTGTTTTATGTAACTTTTAAATTGGTCATTCTCAAATCTTCAGTTTAAGCACTTCTGGCTTTTTGACACTATGAAGTTAGAAGTGGTGCTGTGCCATTGTAAATAACTAATTGCTGCAAGCTTCATTTTCAGTGAAGGTGGAATACTTGGTTGCAATACCTATTCACAGAGACAGGCAGAGTACTTTATTTCTCAACAGGTTACTTTAATTTATTAATATTAAAACATTTCGCCTTTTGATTCATTGATTAATTGTTTTACTTTAATTTTCACTGGTTGAGTATTTGAATGTTAATGTGCAGTAATAGTACTATTATTTATAGTAATATTTAAAAAAATTAAATCCAAAATTATGAAGATTTGCATCTAAAAACCTGTTTAATTTTGATTTTTTTTATAACTTTTACACTGACAAAAATTTCACATATTTATTGCACTGCATGAAAAAATTATCAGTAATCAAAACTACTGACATCTTTGTACACGTTTTTATATGTATATTTGAAAGAATTGTTTGAATTGTGGAAAAAGGTTTTTTAACTGTAGAGGTTTAAATTATTGAGGTCCTGCTGGACAATTTATATTAAAACCAAGGGGTTGTTTTTCTTCACCAAGTAGATAATAAATAACGAATTTTTACTTCGAATCAGCTGTCAAATTACTTGATGAAATATTTGAATGTTTTTTCCGAGTTTTGAATACCAAGCACTCTGCTCCTCTGGGCTGTAGAACCCTACAGTGCATGGGTGTAAGTTTTCAGAATTTTGCTTGGCTTCAGGATTTTCAGTCTTCATTTTTTTTTTTTGTGAAAAATTTATAATAACTGCAATGAGAAATTGCATGGTAGGTTTTCAGAACTTGGAGTTTTTACAACTTTCACACATGTATACACCAATGTTTTGTATACCAGGTGAACTTGTTACATCACAATGCTACAGAGGCACTGCCTCCTCCTAAACTACAGTCAACAGTCTCACAGTTACTGAGGAGCATGCCACATTTGGCAGAGGCAGTAAGTATACCTGAAAAATTTAGAATTTATCAATATTTTCCATGTCACCAAGGAGTTTAGAATCATAGAAAAGGATATTTTCATGATGTTCCAGAATAATTTAGAATAAAAGACATTTTAAGGTAAAACAAAGACTATATTACATTGTACTGATACTAATGAATAATTGATATTAAAGCTGAGATCAAACTTTTTAAAAGTTAAATATTATTGTGTTACTGATATTTCATATTCTGCTTTGAAATTTTCACTTTTATCAGCACTTTCTCAGCTACCTGAACAATCTACGAGTTGATGAATATTGTGGTGCTATACATAGCCTATATCACTACTTTGACCGTCACGCTTTGGCCTCGGTGCTGACCAGTGCAGCAAGCAAGGATGAGAAATTGGACGAGTGCAACAAGCGATTTAGATATGCTGCTCTCAATTTAGCAGCCCTGCATTATAGATTTGGACACAGGTAATGCATTCTTGTTGTCAGAGTTATTGTGGTATTATGTTGAAAGTACTAGTAAGGTTTAGACACATAGACAGTGTTGTAATAGAGTCCAGCAAAGAATTTCATCAGATGTTCTATGCCCTTAAAAGTTACATTAAGAGTTTCTTCCAATAACAGCTAAAATGAGGGACATCTCCACTCTTTATTTCAATATCTCAAAAGATATTTTCATAGGGAAATATTGGAGTGGTAATAAATCTGAGTATAGCTGTCATTAGAAGAAGTTCAAAATAATTGTAACTTTAAATGAAAGGAAAATATTTAATAATGAAGATATGCATACACCTTACACAAGAAGACTTTCCCTTGTACTCTGTTGAATGTTGCATCACTGGGGTAATGTCTGACCTGATCAGTTACAGCAATCCCTGACCCCAGTTTCACAAAAAACCCTAAGTCAGTTCCTTGGCGTAGTTGATTAGGATTTTCATGAGAGTGCTGTTACACTGCTCCTGATAGGGTAAGATGTGGCCATGTAATTAAGTTCTTAGCCAGGGAACCTGACTTAATTTTTTTTTTTTTTTTTTTTTTTGTGAAACCTGGGCCTGGAACTGGGAACACCAGAGACATGCTGTTAGTAGAGAGCAAAGTTCCCAGAGACCTGAAACTCGGGTTGGGATTGACCTGTCTGAGTCAGTATTTGTCCTTTCATAATTCTGAACCAACCACTCAAACTGTTTCCTTATTTTACTCGCCTGTTCTTCACAGAACAAGTTAAGATGTTTTTATGTGAAACATCTCTCAATGTGAATGGGCAAAGGTGGCAGTTTTTTTTATTAAAAAGAGTGTTTTTATTTATATTTTCAGAAAAGAAGCTTTGGCAGCTCTTCAGGAAGCTATCAGAATGGCACACGAGACCAATGACAATGTGTGCCTGCAGCATGCTTTGGTGATTTTCTCTCTCTCTCTGTCTCTCTCTCTCTCTCTCTCTCATGCACATAATTGCTTCTTTGAATTTATAAATATATTACAACATATAAATAATGCTGTAGAAACAAATACATATTGATTTTATTTACAGATAGTACATGTAGATGCTACAGAAACAAATTCTGACAATTTGCAGCCATTTAGTTTTAAATCAGTTCATTTGTTTATAAGAATTAATGCCACTGTCTATATCCAATTGTTTGAATATTTAAAATTTTATATTTATTAGACTTCAAAAGTAAAAGATACTGCTGTCACTGACAAACTTTCACTTCACACATTACAATACTATAATACAGGATACAGATTTACTTGAACATCAGAGGCATACCACACAAAAAATATGCACTGCCTTTACATAATTAGCACCACACTATGTATAAATTTGGTGAATGTTTAATGCTCTGTGTACATTTCCAGGGGTGGCTGTACAGGCTAGGAGAGCAGTACACGGCAAACACTGCAGATCTCATGTTTAGAGCAGTGGCCAAGTCTGAAGATCTACATCTCCATGTACTAAGTATTCCATGAAAAATCTATAATTGATTTTTTTACCTCTAAGTGTTTTCTCCCTTTTATGAGACCCAGTGCACCATTTAAAATGAATCTTGCTAACTGGCTGTGTTGAACACAGTGGTCCTATTTTGGTGACCCTTTTAAGTAATAGCCAGATATTTAAAAAGGTTTTTAAACTGGCATGGTACAGAAAACTCTGCTGCTTCAATGTTAGAAGGATCTAAGACACATGTTTTTCTTTCCAGTACTTGGCATCACTTGGAGTTCAGGCATTTGCCCAGCACAACTCTGTGGCTGCTGCTGAACCAGCAAGGTAAACAATAGATACATGGGTTAATTAATAATAGAGTTTATTAGAGATTTATTTGTGTGACAGTACTCAATATATACAAATATAATATTTAAATATAAAAGTATTAATCCAGTCTTATGTGTTAACAAAGTCACCATTTAGTTTTACCATTAGTTCTATAATAGCTTCTCTCAGACATGGGAGCAGTGAAAGATAAATTTTCCTTATACAAACATCTGGCTCTTTAATTTTCCCCATCAAATTATTTGCCATATAGCTGCCGCTATTTACCTTTATCCCATATCCATAGGAACATGGGGATCAAGATACTGTCATGCTGAACTAATCTGATGATATTCATAATGTTTTCTGAACAGCATTGCTTTTTATATTCAGTATTCATGTTGTTTCTCCAATTTTTATAATTTTTAATATATAATTTACAGTGTGTTCCAGTGTCTTGTAAACAGTGACATCTTGAACTGCCAGCATTCCATGGTGGATCTGATGGCGACAAGTTTTGCACAAAAATCAGCACTCTGGAGTCTGTATGGGAACAGGTATAGAGCAAAAATCACAATTTATTATTGTCTTGTTTGCCTAATTTTGATTTTTTGACAATTTGACATATTTCTCTTTGAGAACTATATGATAAAAGAGCTGTAAGCAAAATCGAATCAAACATGACATTTTGTCTCTTTCACACACAGTACACATAAAATAATATGTGAACAGTATAATTACATACCTTGGCTTTCTTTGTCCCAAACATGCTAATGAACAAAAGCACTGGTGCTGGGTTTACTTATGAACTCAGCATACTTCTGTCTTGGGAGTTTAACCCCCTTGTAATGGAAGAGAGGGTTATCTTTAATTGTAACTTAACCAAGTTGAGGACTTGATTTTCATTTTTATTATTAAATGGTAATATTTACTTGTTTATTAAGACTTTAGTCTTTACGTACATTTCTAGACAAATGTCCTCCCTAACCAGTCAGCTACTTTTGAACCTGGCATCTTCAGATGGTGGGGTGTACCACACAGGAGAGGCTGAGAGCTTGGGTCTGTGTAACTTGGCCACCATGCATGCAGAACAGGTGGGTTGCCTCTTACCTGACTTTGCTACACCTACTTGACTTTGTCACACCTACTTGACTTTGCCACACCTACTTGACTTTGCCACACCTACTTGACTTTGCCACACATCTACTTGACTTTGCCACACATCTAACTGACTTTGCCACATCTACCCGACTTTGCCACATCTACTTGACTTTGCCACACATCAACTTGACTTTGCCACATGTACTTGACTTTGCCACCATATTTCACTTCAGTTTAAGGAGTTTGTTATCCAATGCGCAGGTTATTTTACAAGTCAACTAGTTCTTGGAAAAATGTAACAGAAAAATGCTTCTGGAATTTGATATAAAAGACAGGCAGAATGACAGTATAAAATATTTAGTAGTAGAAAGATGTTTAAAAATGTGTTATTTGAATGAGATATGAATAGCACTGAAGTCTTGTAATTCCTAGAGAATAAAAAGTATTTTATTATTTTTTATAGGGAATGTATGATATGGCATTTGAAATCATCAGTTATGTCAAACAGAAATTCCCCAAGCCTTCCCAGCATGCAACAGTATGGTCCATTTGTGAGCAGAAGATAATGTTTGATCAGGCAGTGCATTGTGGTAACTGGCAAGTTGCTATGGAAACTGTGAACAATATTTCTGCTATAGATTCTAAGGAAGGAGAATACAGGAAGGCTGTGTTGTTGAAAGAAAAGGGCCAAGTTGAAGATGCTTTCCAAATATTGCACAGTTTTCTTGTGGAGAGAAAGAAGAAGCTGGAAAGCTGCACAGCTGATTTGTATTCCAGGTTATTTTCATAATTTTAATTTTTTAGTAATGAGGCATATAAATATTTGTATATGAATAAAATATATTTACATTGCATATATAATCATAATGTAAACATTCAGTTGTATTTCCAAAAAGAAAAAAGAGCAAAGCTGTTTGAAATACAAGAAAAAAGTAATGAATTTCTGTCATGCTATGGAGTTCTTGTGTAACTGAGAGATGTAATATCTATGCCAGCCTTTGTATACAGATGTTTGTATTTTTCAAATGCACTTGTAAAAGGATAAAGCACAGTGATTTCAACTGTGTTCATAGGCTAGTTCCCTGAAATGTCATTGAAAAATAGTTAGATAACCTTCAAATTACTGTAATTCTAGAGTCTTGCTTGCTCTTGGTGAGTTATACTGCCAGACAGACAACCCCTCTGCTGCTATCCCCCATATATTAGAGTGTGTCTCAGTTGCCAAGTCACATCACATGCTACTGACACTTATTATGGCCAAGATGCACCTGGCTTTCATACAGGTAAGTCTGTGTCTGTATGTGTGCCTCTGTGTGTGTGAGTGTGTATTTATCCATTAAAAATAAAATGTCATGTCATCGTCATAAAAAAAAATTGTTTTGAGTTTTGAAGAGGGAGTATGTGGGGGGTGGGGAAGCAGGCAAGTGTATATGATCAGAAGCATTTGTTTAAGTCATTTAAATGGCCTATCTGTTGGCATCTGGGATACATACAAATAACAAAAATAATGCAATTGAGCAATATTTTCCTATTGGTAAGACCTGTGCTACCTTGAAATTGGAGTTTTATTGAAGGAAATGTGTACCTTGTCTAGTAAAATGTTTCTCAGATGACTTCTTATCTCCCAAAATTGTCAATTAGACCGGGGAATTATATTGTAGACGATATAATTCCCTGATCAGACTGACTTGTAAGTTGAGTAGAAGAATTAAAATCTTTATGTAATATGCAAAATATTACTGGATGACTTGTCTGCACAAGTGGTATGTCGGATCAATAGATTTGTACTGTATCTGTTATAGTTCACCATGAATATGCCTGCTCAGGCACTAAGAATGATAGAGGAGGACTTGGTAACAGTATTGACTCATGGGAGTGTATATAACAAGGCACGGACACAGTACCTGTATGCTAAATGTAAAGTGGCTGCCGCCACTCAAGAAAAAGACACATACCAAAAGAAAACAGGTAATGGAATTTATGCTGTTTAAATATAGCACTCTTAGGCTACTGGTAGAATTCTTTTCAAAATGTATGATTGAATTACTTTTTAGTTGAGAAAGTAGTATGATTAGTTGAGAAAAATTAAGGTATTTTTTAATTAGCAACTTCTCTGTTTTAAGTCTGAGAGTAAAATCTAGAGCATAGCTGTAAATAGGTGTAAAACTTGTATCTAATAAAACCGTTGACAATAGCTTAGCTGTATTAGGGAGCATTTTATTTAACAAATCACTTCAGCTAGGATCCACAATACAGTTTTAATAAGAAAAGAAGGGAAAAGTTTTTATAATGATAATAATAATAACAACATTATAAACAAGCACTTTATTGTTTTCTTATCTCTCTCTCCCTCTCTCTCTCTCTCTTTTTGTGATGTCTGTCATTTCTGTGTGGTGTATTCTGTCCTCAAATCCACCTTCTCTCATTATGGCTTCTCTCTCCCCCCAGCACGCATGTCAGCAGTATTACTAATGAACACTGTTATAGACAACCTGGTCTCCATACAAGCTCACTGGAGGACTAAAGATGCTGTATACTACCAGGTAAACTATATGTGTGTGTGTGTGTGTGTAATTCTTGTAATGTGAGATTTTTTATGTTTTATGTTTTTATGGGCAAAATGAGGTTAAGTGTTTTTACTAAAAAAAAAAAAGACGACATGCAAATTTACTCTGAAAGACCAGCCAAAAAACTGTAAAGGAATAACAGTTGCTAGATTATTAAATGATTGTGTTTAACTAGCCTACAACATTATTTTGAAGGTTGAAAAGTTCTGTCATGATTTCCTAAATTTCCAAATTTTCAATTTACACCAACTTGTATGAAAATGAACCTTGTGTTTAGAAGCAAACAAGCCTACAGAATGTGATTAAAGTTTTGAAGTTCAAGATTGAATTTCTTAAGATACTGAATGGGTTAATCTCTTAGCATGGGATATGACTGGGGTAATTCAGCAAAGCAGATTGGCATATTTTCCAGAGTAAAACATCACAGCTCAGACATAATTACCAGATTTGAAGTTTTTTCCCTCCTTCATAATTTTTGATGGTAATTTTTTAAATGAGCATCATGACACAGTTGTTATTGTCAGCTTCAAAAAGTTTCTTCCTTCTGTCATAATAGTTGTTTTGTAATTGTTGAAAATGAATATCAGGACACAGTCAATATTATCAGTTCTAAAGAAGTATTTTCATTTTTCATTTTTTTTTTTTTTTTTTTGTTTCATGATTTTTAAAATGTAAATATCCAAAACACAAAATATTTTTATCCACACTATGACACACACTGTGGTCTATATAGTTCAGATTTGCAAAAAAGAAAGAGGATATTTATCTCATAACAATGCCATTTATTCTACTTCCAGGCACGCCTGTGTCATGAGCTCGGCTACACAGCAGAGAGGAACAAGTTTGCCCTTCAATTTAGACAACTGGATCAGAAATACCCAACTGTCAACTCTCTAGCCATCAATGTGTTATAATACAATTCAGACAACTGGATTAGAAATTATAAGATGGAGTTCACAAGGAATATCTACTTATGGAGGAAATGTAAAATAACTCACAGCTGTGCTTAACCCTTAGATTAATAAAAAACGCCTTAACTGTCATTGCTATCTAAAAGCATGATAGCTAAAATGCACAAATAAAAATAAATTGAAATAATTTATACACAGGTTCATTTAGTAACTGGAAATGGCAAAAGAGCATGGAACTCTTCAGTGAACTGAGACTTGGTAAGCTTATGTGGATGGATAATTTATAGAAAAATTAGTTGTTGAAACCTATATAACAGAGAGACACATTGGATGTAATGTCCAGTATGTTGCTTCACCTTATCTGAACATTGTAATACATGGAGTGGTTTTGTACATAATTTTACTACATGAAATAAATGAATATTTCTCCTTTTTTTTACATACAGACAGATGTGTTTGTACATAAAGCCATCACCTGTGCCTGTGGTCACTGTCATCACCCTCGTCAAGAACTTTTAGTGATAAGTGGAAAATCGTTTTACCTCTTGTCTTCAAACTTACAGAACTGATGAATTGTCATCAAATACAGTTCAAGTTCAAAAGTTAGCTTGATCAGACCATTTCTCCAACAATTATGCAGTTTTCCTTTTCTAAGCATATATGCAGTACAGAAAACACATTTTAAGGAAAACCTATTCTCCTCAAACTTACAAAAATGATGAGTATTACTCAAATACAGGTTGGGTTTGAAAACCAGCCTGATTGGGTTATTTTCCTGAAGTTGACAAGATTTTTGTGAAATATCTTTTTAAATCATGGCATTTTCAAGGATTGAGGTTGAACTTCCACGTCCTTCAAATGTCCTGAATATCCAGGATACTTATATTATATTATATTATATTATATTATATTATATTATATTATATTATATTATAAAAGAATGGTGTAAAGCATTATGTAATATTGCATCAAAATTGAAGGAAATCCTATTATAGGGACTGCTGCCATAATGACCATTAAAGAAAAACTTACTGAAAAGATTCATAGGCCCAAAATACAAGTTGGGTTCGAAAAATCAACCTGATTGCATTATTTTTCTGGAAGTTAAAACATTTTTTGTGTGAAACATTCATTTTTATGTACAGATATTGATTTTGTCGTTGTCGCCAAGCACTTTCAGTGTTATAATAATAAGTGGAAAACCTCTCTTCAAACTGACAGTACTGATAATAATTCATAAAATTAAGTCCAGGTTCCAAAATTGGTGTGATCGGTGCCTTTTTAATAATAAGTGGAAAACCTCTCTTCAAACTGACAGTACTGATAATAATTCATAAAATTAAGTCCAGGTTCCAAAATTGGTGTGATCGGTGCCTTTTTCCGAAAGTTCCCCTTTTTTTTTCAACATATATTATTACCGTTATATAAATAAGAAAACATGGAAGGCCATGGAAGGTCAACCTCACTCCTTGAAAATGCTATGATGTGAAAAAATAATATTTCGTGTTCCATGTTTTGCTTTAAAACTTACAGGACTGATTGATATTCAGCCATTACTACTTCTAACAAACTAAGCATTTTTGTGAAAAAAATCTACAGGCCTATTGCCAAACCCACACTTTAGACTCTTCTTGAAACATGCACATACACTATCATTGCCTTTCAATGTTTTAGAACTACATGTATTTACAGATCTTTTACCGGACACAGGCTCCCCGCTTTGCAAAGTCATTTACAGTTAAGAAGCCACAATGCAATCTATTGTTTTTGTTCACGCAGATTAAAAAATATTTGGCAAAAGACTGAAACATTTCGAAAGCATAATGGATAAGCGTGCACGCAGAATCAGGGGGGGGGGGGGGAGAGAAGATCCGCTTTCTCAGTTGGGTTAGTTGGTGTTCATTTAACGTTAACCGAGAAAGTTTACTCGTATATGCAGTTATTACAAACAATGGCCGCGGTTTAAATGATGGTATCTCGGTTCCTTTTGGAACCAGCTTCGTCCCACGACAACATTAACATGCATATTTTTCAGGATGTTACTTAGACAATATCTCCACGTGGTAATGTTTTGGGTCTTTTCTTGGCATATCCTTGTTTCCACAATGACGGCACATTTTAGTGAATTAAGTCATCGTGCGTTCTAATGAAAGAAAAAAGAAAGTTATTGGCTTACACTTTCACTAATTGCAGGTAATAATTAAAGAGCAATCAAATAAGTAAAAGTATAGGGAGATATTGAGTGTAAGTTAAATTTCTTTAAGACTCATCTAGTATAAAAATTGATTTCGTGGTAAGAAAAGATGGAAAATGTCAAAGTCAGACATAGTTTGATTTGATTTGTTAATTTCTCAATAGATTTGCATGTCACTGCCACGTGTTAAACACTATGCCGAAGCATGAGTTATTCAAACAATATTTAAAATATTTTTAATTGAAAACAAGTTTATTAGAAATTGCCTAATAAGGAAATGTTGAATGGTGGGATGCAACATGAGAATGGAAAATTCCTGTAATCACGCAAAAGACAATGGAACGAAAACAAATAAATGCGTGATCAGTACGGAGAAAAGCATAAATTATCTAGACGCTAAAGCTTAAAAAGGCCTATCTCCACTCCTCAACATATCACATGCAAAAAAATGGAGAAGAAAAAAAATATTTTTTTTTTTGCAATCCTCTCTCTCTCTCTCTCTCTCTCTCTCTCTCTCTCTCTCTCTCTTCACACACACACACACACACACACACACACACACACACACACTTATGCATTGAATATTTTTCAACACTATTTAGCTCCAACAATTAACAGAAAAACCCTGTTTTCAGGTATTTCTGAACGTAGCATACCAAGTATTTTCGCTTCCTCTTTGTTAAATTCAACTTACTTTTCTGTGAACACGAACAGTGTTGAAAAGATCTTTGTCACGATCAAGAGCAAAACCATTCAAAGTGCCCAATTGCCTCGTGCAAAGCTTCACAAAATCTGATTAAAACATATCTATTGGTATTCATATTAGGTTGACATTCCCTGTTAAGAGAAAAATTTGCTCTCTCTCTCTCTCTCTCTCTGTGTGTGTGTGTGTGTGTGTGCGCGTGTGTGTGTATGCGTGCGTGCATTGATTTCTTTTGCTAATTTTCTCACAGGAATTAAAAATAAGCAACAAAAATATTTGAGGTGCAGTGTTAAATAGTATGTTTACTAGTATTTCTAAAATCTGAAATTGATTATTGCAATAACTTTCCTTAATCATAAATAAGTAGTCTTGGGAGAGTCATTTGATTCATATGTTGCGGGGATGCTTCTGGAAAAATAATAAGAGGCAAAACGGTTTTCATTTTGTTCCATAAATATTCTCAAAATATATACAAAATTAGTAACGATAACCATTCTTAATATCAAAGTAAACGATTGTGTACACAGCACATAATGGTTATATGCAGATTATTTAGTTCTTCACAGCAATTACCATTTTCATCTCCTAAAACGATACATACGTTACTGACGCCAGTCAAATACTTTTTAGTTTAAATGTTAGCTCTGTGAAGTACATGTTTTCTGGCTGCCATTTGTTTCAAGTGGAAACGACTTGTCATTTAGGGAAAAACTTTTCATTTCATGTATGTATCAATCCGTATAATGGACACTTATTGGCAATGTTTTTTACGTCCTCATAATGCCGATGGTGCTAGGTGTGGATAATTGTTTGGTAACAAAACAATGAAAAGTTGTAAATTCATTCCGTATTCACACAAACGCTATACTAACATGCCCAAGAGTCGGCTTTTCTTTGTGGACATACGGTCCTTATTGCCGACTTTGGGTGTTTCTTCAAGTTATTGACACTCGTCAATTCAACATTGAAAATCCAATCAAGTTGCCAGGATAGCCCGAAGCCGTTTGCTTAATCACATACATAAAGCTTACTTTACCCACATTTACATAATAATCATTTCGTTAAAAAAATTGGCCGCCTTGGAACAGTATATAAAGTCCCGCAACAGAGGACTTGACAGTATGCTGACAGTCTTTCTCGGCTGAGTTTAACAGGATTGAAAAACCGAAGAGCAAGAACAACAGCAGCTGGTTGACACAGAATACATCATTAAAGGTGAGCCTTATGTATTTAACCCTTCTTTAACTTAAATACATGTATATAAGTAATTTTTTGAAGGATGAAATCAATCCATTTTGTTAAATGTTGATTCTTTTTTGCTCCCGCGGCGAGAGAGAGAGAGAGAGAGAGAGAGAGAGAGAGAGAGAGAGAGAGAGAGAGAGAGAGAGAGAGAGAGGGGAAAAAAAGTTAGGAATTCTGCATTTTTATCATCTTTCTTTTTCATTTCAAAGCATTATTTTTAATAATTGTTTGTTTCAGGCATGTCTTCTTATATGTTGATTGTGTTGGTGGTTATCTTGTCGTCATGTGTGTGGCAGACGGAGGCTGCGTGCTGCAGAGCAACTAAGGGTTACTGCAAGGACTGCACAAGAGTAAATATGGCATAATCTTTCACACAATTGAATAAATAAATAAATAAAAATTGTAATGAATAGGTAAGCGTGTGTGTACATAAATTAAAGGGATAATAACTCTTCGTATGAGATCTATATTTCACAATAAAAACATTTTGAAGAACTCAGAAATAAAACATATTCTGTTTTACGGCAGTTATAGCTATTATTCTGATATCTGAGCTTGTCTTTAGACCACGTGACCTCCATTGATGGCTACTCTGTTAAAATCTCTTAAGAGATCTCTTAAGAGATTTTAACAAAAAACCAAACTTTTTAGAAAAAAAAATAGGGACTAATTTTGAATGTAAAAATGGATTCATTAAGCATTGGTAAGTATGGAAAAATTGTTGTTTACTCCAGGAAAATTCATTTTGTGGCCGAAACGAAGAATTATTATCCCTTTAATTGTCAGCTACAGATATATTTTAATAAAGAAAGAGACAAAGTGGGAAGAGGGAACGACGGATAAGAAAGTTTTTTAAAGAATATAAAACTTTTAATAGACAGTTTGATTTCAATTTTCATTCAAGGGAACGCCCTACTGTGGCTATAGACGATGCAATATATTCGGATGTAACTGCGGTGGTGGTTGTCGATATCGCTCTGGATGTTATTTAAGTAAACATTGGGGATGGTAAGTAGTATATTTATATATTAATTAATAAGGATTTTTTTTTTTTATTTTGTTCTGTATCGAATGATTTTAATCAAAACTATAGTTAAACCTAGATCACATTAGCCACGGTCGTCGTGCGTTGATTTTTTTTTCGTTGAAAATGGCTACTGACTACGGCAAGAGCGTTTACGTATACATTATGCGCGGGTGTCGGTGTAACAGGAATGGAAGTCCGCGAGGCACCGTAGTCCGATTCCCATTACTTTGTACAGGTGACATTCGTCCCATACACTAAGCTCAACACTTCAACTCACCTTAACTAATCAAATGAGAGCCCGGGCTCCCATTCCAAAGACTTCTATTCCTGTTACACCGGGACACATTTCCAAAATGACCTTGAGGCCACGTGGGGAAAAATCGGTTGTTTGTTGAAAAGTGGTCTTACTGAGGTCTCAGTGCAGTGCGGCTTCCTTGAAGATAGAGACGTTATCGGCGATTTTAGCACCTTTTGTGCCCGAAGTAAGGAAACGCACAATTCCGTATTCATGCAAACAAATTACTCTAATTACTCTGAGTTTTTAACATAATTACTAATGTGATACCGCCTAAAATCACCGAACGTGGAAGGGAATGAGACCAACAAAAGGTTCAACCATTATCATGATCAGCGCAAGTTCATCGAACAATGCCCCCAGGGAACCGTGCCATCCCGTCTACGATAATGCTTAAATTTGACAAAAAGTTACCTTGACAAATCGTAGAGGCTACGGAATCCCTGAATCTGTTCGATTTTGAACGATTTTGCACGGCCACCGCCTACCTCCGCAAAGACGCCGCACGAAAATGAATTAACGGGCAATGTACTGGTACCTTACGGAGATCGCGTGGCAAATATAAACTTGGTTTTAATAAGCAAATTAATAAGATGACAAGCAACGTTTTAAGAGCTTGATTATGTAAAAGGTCGAATTCAGTCCCTTCTTTGGTGAAAATAAAGCTACGTAGATCTGTTTTATATTTATTTATTTTCAGGACGACTTGTCAGTGTGGCTGGTATGGGAAAAGATCGATAGAATTAGATGACAAAAACGAAGAAACTGCATCCCCACAAAGTTCCTTTTCGGCCCTTGACAAAGACGGGTAAGCTATGCAATGCTCCAGAAAACGTCCCATTTATTTCCTGTCTCAGTTATTTGACATTCATACCTGCAAGAATAAACTTGTAAATCAAACAATCTCATTCACTGTGAAAAAACATATACTAGAAACACTGGAGTAGAACTACAATACGCACACAAACCCAACCACGGTGTTCATTTTCAATAAATCATTTCGTGATTTTCAGATCAAATTCTTCCTTTATATATTTCAAAGTTGAATTGAAATTTTAGAAATTTAATTAATAAATGACTAAATTGACTATTAGTTTAAACCGAGGCCTAGCGTACTCTTGGTTTGGAAAATATTTGTCGCCTTTAGTGAGTACAAGATAGTACATAACATGTTTAACCATCAATCCTGTTCATTGAAATAATTTTTCATGTACTACTATTTTTCAGAAATGGCTACCTGGATTTGAACGAGTTCGGTCAAGCAATCAAAGGAAGCAAGGGGAAAGTGGACGCGGATACCATCCAACGTAAATTTGCCGAGATGGATGATAATAAGGACAAAAGGATCAGCCCTGGCGAGTTCGACACAGATCTTGCTTCACCCAACGACGAGGGAGAAATCGAAAAGGAAGTAGCTGTTTAACAACAGGACGGAGTATCGGATGGCGGTGACGCGATGTCCCAGATGGACATAGACGATCTACGTAGAATGTTGGAACAGTGAGACAAAACCTCACCAGAATTAATGTGACGCTTCTCTCTCTCTCTCTTTTCTTGCTCTTTTCTCTCTTTCTTCATACTCTCTCGCTTTCTTTCTCCCTCTTTGGCTTTCCTTATTAACCTTGTACCTGCGATTTCAGTGATTATCCATATAATATATAATCAGACTTATCAGACACAAGAAGTATTCAGAAAAAGGCAATAAAAATCAAGTGGGATTTCATTTCATGTGAAGTTCCTCATCCCGAGTGGATTTAGCATGCAATTAAATACGTGCACGTTGCTCTATGGCCAAAGACGAACAGAATATCCCAATAAAGTTTTGCTTTAATGAAACCATTCGTCTCTTCTCTTTTGTATCCGAATCTGTAAATTGTTGTTTTCAAATTGTTGTCTGTAAATTGTGCTTAAAAGAAAGAGTTGTTTTAATGTACACACAAAAAAGCTCGGAAGCACATGTGGGCTGATGTTTATTTTCAACTTGAAATTTATGTATTTTGAGTAGGCGAGTGGAGAGTTACACAAAGTTAACACAGTCACACTTTTAAACTTTTTTTGAGAGAAAAAATCTTAATCGTGAATCATTCTTTGTCCTACAGAAAATTTCAGAGACCGAGCAGCTGCTATTGCCTATACAAATTATACATGCACGTTATTCACTCCTTCACATAATTATGAAAGTTCATGATATTTTGTTTCAATGGAGTGGAAAAATCCAGCTCTTGACGCTTTCTTAATCCTATGATGATATCTTAATCTAAATTGATGATATCTTAATCTTAATTGATGATACTTAATTTTGACGATATCTTAATCCTGTGGTGATATTAGGATCAAAACAACGAGTGATAAAAAATAACGAGTGTACCATAAAGGAGTCTATTCCTGAAGTGAAAACAAAAGTTCAATATTAACACAATTTACTTTAGATAATTCATGTATAACGAGCTTTACAGTGTAGGACCAATTTCCTAAAGTAACACTTACTCGGATTACGTTAATACCGTCTTCAACGATTGCCAGTTAAATTTCGAATTGGATGAAAACGTTCTTATGATCAACGAATGTGTCTTTATTTTGTTTTGTGAATGATCTAAATATAATTTTACATTTATGCAAAATTTATATCTATCAATAAATACTGTATTCTGGAAACACAAGTCCATATTAGGAGGTGGACGTCAGAGATGTCACGTGGGCCAACGAGGTTATGACGTCATCACGCACCTATCCAATGAGAGTGAGCGATCCCCACTTGGTCAGGAATTCGTTTAGACTCACAGATTTATCACCTGAAAATATAGTTCACAGAAACTCTATAAAAGATAAATAAATATAATGATAAAAATTCTTAATTCATGATCATTTAATGGAAAAAATAAATACATACACTTCTAATAAAATGAGCAAGTGTTAAAAATACTTTAATATCTAACATCGAAAACAAGTTTTGAATGAAAAGGAAAATGAAAATCTTAATGAATGGACATAACGAAAATTAAAAAGAAAGAGATGGGAACGCAGAGAAATAGAGCGATGAAGATTAGTCATGCTATTCATGCGGTCGTGAGCCTATTTTTCATAAAAATGTCTTAAAATAGACTTAATTATAGTCCAGTATTCAGGTCTGTAGCCAGGGGGTAATGGGAGGAGGAGGTTCGAAAGAACCACCCTTTTTGTCAGGAAAAGGTCCATTCAGGGCAAAATCTGATCTAGGTACACAACAGTTTTATTGAAAAAGGTCCACTTTTTCAGAAACAGAGCCCCCTTTTGAAATTGCTGACTACGGGCCTTAGTAAAAGATTTCAATCTTTAAAACTACCTGTTAGGCGCCAATAGATTGAACATCTTTGACAAGGGAAAAAAGAGAAGAAAAAAAGAAAGAGTAAAAAAAGAAAACAGACATTGATAGTACAACAACAACAGCAGAAAAAAAGAAAAAAAAGAATAATGTAAGACAACATAGGCCTATACGCAACAAACATGTATTTTTGTGAGGCCATGTCATTAACTCTATGGTAGTCCTTACCGTTTGTCAGAAAATGTTAAAATTTTATGAAAATGTTTACAATGTGTACAATAATTAATTCCCACAGCAAATCTTTCTAAACGCTGGTGTTTTTTTATTGGAATAAAACTCATAGGTATTTCACGGTTCAATTTTCCAGTAATGACGGTCAGACAGACAGACAGACAGACAGACAGAAAGACATATGCCAATGCTACTGAACGTACCGACTCCTTAACAAAACGAAGATAATAAAAAAATCTCACCGTCAAAGTCAAAAGCTTTGAAAACAAGCTTCAAATCTTCGTGATCAAGATAGTCGTTATCTATAATATCTGCTTTGTTGAAGAGTTCGTCAGCCATGATTTTGGGTCCAAGGTTTAGTTTCTTCACCCAGACATCTTCAAACTCTTGTTTAGTGATCTGACCGTTACCTAAAAATATTGATATGATTCACTTATTTGCGGAACGTTTGCTGTAAATCTATATGCTTCTTAACTTAAAAAATTGAAATGCAAAAAGAATATGCAAAGGTATTCCAAGGTCCCAGATAGTGTTACTAATTGGATTTTAGTGGATCCTTTGAAATCTTTAATAGACTTAAAAGAGATATTGCTCTCTCCCAGTGGCTGATATAGGGTGCAAATCCAGTCTTGTCCCCTTACCTTCAATATGTACTGCTGTTCACCAGTCTTCCTCTTCCATAGTTACCTTCTCAAAGACGTATAAAAACACCACCACTTTGCCATACATGCATTATGATAAAATTTCCTTGTCTACTTTTTCAAAATTGTCAATCCCTGTGCCTTCTTCCCCCGAGCAAAAATCCTTACCGTTTGTGTCAAAGGCAAGGAACACGTTCTCCAGTTCTTTCTCCGTCAGTTCACCGTCCTTGTCCTGATCTCCTCTGTCAAACAGGTCGATAGCGAATGATACCTCGGAGTTGCACTTGACTGAAATATAAAATATTGTGAGAGTCGGACCTTTTTGGTCTAAGTATGGCAAAGCAAAGTCGGGCGCAGAAGACGGATGTGAAATGCGCAGAAGACGGATGTGGAATATCTTCATTCACACACGCCACGCATGAATGCAAGCTATAGCTATCGGTGCAGCTTAGATACAATGCTCGTACTCAACACACCTACCTCGCTACATATGCCTTCTTCATACAGTAACAATAAGAGCAAATTCCAGGACTTTCGTTTTTTTTTTTTAATTTTTAATTTATTTATTTATTTTTTTTTTTGGGGGGGGGAGGCAAAATAGGACAATTTACTGTCATTCATGACCGCACGTACCAAAGAATATATTAAGAGACGTAATTATTAGTTCATATACACTTTGTATTTGTACTCTCTGATAATGAGAGACAATATAATGAACTAATTTTTGGATTATTGTCTGTATTCAGGTAAAAACTAAAAGATATAAAATCATTTTGATAATGTGATCAAACTCAAGTACTTTTCAATTAAAAAAATGAAATACAAGCCCCTTTTCAAAACTAACAGCTTTTTTCAAGTTTAATAGAAGGCCCCTAACTGAATTCAAGGCACAGAGCTAATCCAAGCACCTAAAAGAAAAACAGCTGTTCGTTTTGGGAAGAAAACACCTGAGGTAAACGACGATTTTCCCATACTTCACAATGGCAAATCAATCTATTCCGATATTCATATAGCCCATGTTTTTTTTCCCGAAAAGTTGGATTTTTTTGTTATAAGCTCTAAGAAGATTATAACGGATGTATAGCTACGTATCTAAGTCTCTGTGGTCTCAGGGGTTGATCCAGGATTATTTGAAGGGGGTGGCGGTCCAGTTTATTTTAAAGAATGACAGGCCTCGGATACAAGCCGGCCCTTGCCCTCTTGGTGTGAGGTTCGGTGTTTTGACGGGCAAACGGTGCCATTCGGTGCAGTTTAGAACTATGAATCAGCTCTTCAAGACTCTAATATCAAGAGAGGAATATTTTTTTCCAGAAAGTGAGGGGGGGGGGGAGGACCCCCCTTACACCCCCTAAATTCGCCACTGTGGTCTGGTGGCAGGCACAAATTCAAGAATAATTTCTATAACCGCTGCTTTGGTGGTAAAATGGAATTCATCATATGTCTGTGAGTTATTTACAATGTATCTATTGCGAATTATGACCTCATGCGAACAGTTGTTATCCTTCAAAGGAGACTGTATGAAACCAAATGTGTTGACCAACATACGGTGCGCAAATACATGTTAACGATTAAAAGCAGGTATATTCGTAGATCATTGAAATATTTTCCCCTGTAAATGTTTCATATACCGTTGAAATTCAACAGACATAACTCACCACTTACTGCCAATGCGGCGACTAGTAAAACTACTAGGGAGTTCATCGTTGATGCCTGGAAAAATTAGTTGAGTGAATACTTTAAAGAGGCCTGCATGTACATGTATGTAGATTATACATACATGTAGATTATGTATCAGAAAAGAATAATCGTGAAAAAGTTGCGATATATGCATAAAAAAAGAAACAAAACACATGATGTGCATGATCTACCTTGGTCTTACCTTTGTGCTGCGAATCCTAAATGTGCCGGGTGTTGCACTTGTATAAGTTATCCAGTGTCCCCGATCTAAAGGATAAGCGTGGGCTCTATCTATTAGCTTATATCCGCGTGATCGTCTCAGATGGACGGGGTCAGGCTTCAGATGACCCTAATGGCACGAGTTCACCTTTTGCGGCAAGCTTGAGGTACGGTACAACTGGCTTTTCCCACCGATAGGTCGATTAGCCTCTTTGGTGTTCCACAATTTAACTCTTACCAACTCAGGGGCGGATTCAGGATTATTTGAATGGATGCGAAGCGGACCCACCCCATTTGGCGTGGGGTTCGGGGCCGTCGCGGCCCGCTGAAGGGCCCCAAATTTTTTTATATTTTAGAGGGCGAACTGTGTCATTTGGTACGGTTTAGAACTATGATATAGCTTGGAAATAATTCGTAATTTTGTCCATGGATATAGCTAGTCAAAATTTTAATTTCAAGAGGGGACAGGAAATCAAGTCCTGACCCCCCCCCTGCAACTTCGGATTAATTGAGTACAGATAACTGTTCATTAACAAATACAAGAAAACAAACTAAAACCAAAAGTAGCAGCCTTCAATGCCCCCACCTTTCTTTTTCTTCTTCACCCACTTGATCTATTTTTTTAAATTATCTTCATATACTTCGGTTTATGTTTGTGGTACTTTTGCAAAGACCCAGACTGTTCGCTATCTATCGCGCTCTGAACTTGGTGAAGGCGAGAATTTATGCCATTACCATCAAGGTATAAAAAACTATAAACAGTTGTCATGTTTGTTCATTCTGGTGTTAGACGAAAATTTCGGATATTTTAATATCTTAAAAGATATCTTCATATTGTCGTCTCGTAAGTCGTGTCATTTTATTTATCTATTTTTATATATCCCTTTATTTATTTACTTAATTAAACCTTAATAACTCTTCGTTTTGTGACTCATTCTATGCTTTCTCGTTAAGGGTTTCTAATACTGCTCATTAAACAAATTTCAATGCTGGCTTGGATGCCCCTGTCATAAGGTCTTGCTTTAAAAAGGCTACCATATATATACATATTCTTTTTTCTGGTTGGTAGGTAACACGAAATACTTACATTGGGTACACGACAAAACAAAAAGAAAAGAATAAATCAATATAAAAGACGAAGAGCATTTTGAGAAATTTGCGCTTTGTAACAAATAAGTCGTGATACCTGCAATTCTGTAAAATTATGGTATGTCCAATGGAAATACCAATGCTCACAAGGCCTTCTACACAATTTTATATAATAGAGCTTCATGGATACTTCTATTTGCTTCACTTTTCTTGTTGACACTTTCACACTGTGACATTTATATATGAAATATATATAATAGGCATGTTTGGAAGTAATGGGCTAATTTTTAGCCAAACTTATTATTATAGTACCATGCAAAGATGTTACATAGTTTTATGACTTCAAAACTATAGACGTAGATAATCGCCGGAGTCTTTTATTTCCCTTACAAACACACACTAAAGACTCTCTCTCTCTCTCTCTCTCTCTCATTACCTCCGCCAAGGAGGTTATGTTTTCACCCCGTTTGTCTGTTTGTTTGTCTGTCTGTCTGTCATCATCATAACTCAAAAAGTTATGGACCGATTTTGATGAAATTTTCAGGAACTGTCAGAAGTGGGCCAAGGAAGAGATGATTAGTTTTTGGTGGTGATCCGGATCAATAATCAATCAATAATCAATAATAATAATAAATCGCTGCCTGGCGGAGGCCTGCGCTCTCGGAGTGCTTTTCTACTTGTAGTTTCCCATGTTTTTAATATTGCGTAGATTTGCAATTGTTTCTATTCATTTCATACATCTCAGTGCATGGGGCGAAATTAATTTCAATAATATTCTTTGCGAATTCATAACCTTACTTTCTTTGTAGCAGAAGAAAGGTAAAGACAATTTCGAATCGTTTTGATAAAATAAAAGTCCCTTTTACGACCACTTCTGCTCTTAATGTCACTCTAAAATGTTTCTCTTACTGCCTCACTAGACAAAATTGTAGTGCATTAAATCAATTGAGTTTTCAATATAAAAAGTATTTCTGAAATACATACTAGAGATGACATAAAGAAAACCAACTCAGGGAATATTTAATCAATGGGTAAATTTGTTATTGAAAACATTCCAAACATCCGTGACAAAAATACAACGAAGGAGGTCAAGCCATCGTGCAATAAAGTCAGATTCTATCAAACTCTGATGTCTTTGCTCTTCAAAGTCCTCAGTGATCTACCAGTGACATCGATTTTTTTCTTATCGGGGACCACGAGAGATCTGGGACATGATCTGAAACGGAAACAAAAACGGAATTCAAAAAAGATAACACCACGATTCCTAGACAAATTTAAACGATATTTAACATGAACGTCCTTGTAAAACATATCTGCCGTGCCGGTATGCAAGAGAGTGTCTAGGTTTTTAGTGATACAGTAGGATTTGCACTGCTTTCTATTTGCGCGACCTTCATGACATTGTTTGAAATTTTAATAATTGAGGATATATACCAGGACATCTGACAAAGAAGCAGTGGTCTGATATTTCACTATCCTCTCTTGTATTTCCACCCCTCGCCCCCTCCCTTCCTCCCTCTCTCTCTCTCTGTGCGTGCGTGCGTGTGTGTGTGTGTGTATTATACTTACGTTCATCCACTCTGATACAAATTCTGTCTCACTAAGTTTACTGTCACCTGGGTGATAAAGAAAAATGACGTCGGTCAGAAAAAAAATAAAGTGCACAAAATCAACGATAACATCATAACGAATATTTTTGCAATACCATCTACTTATTGATTTTTTAAAAATCTAGTTGTGATACGAAGACGGGATTGGTGTGCAGTTTCAGCACAAGAAGCAGAATTCCATCACTACATGGTTTATTGGCTAACTCTGCACTTTTCTCTTATGTCTTCACACAGAAATGACGTCATCAGCCGGCCTCTGGCAAGATGCACTATAGATAACATTACTTACCGTCATAGTCCATGTTTTTGAAGATCTTGACAATGTCATTCTCCCTGCCAAGCACATCGTCATGGTTGAGGTCGAAAACGTCGTATAGGCGCTTGGCAGTATTCATGTCACTGTATCCTCTGGATGTCCACGTAGTCAAAAACTCCTCGGCGCTGATTGTGCCGTCGCCTGTCAGAAATAAAATATAATATAATAAAATAAAATAAAGAACTTAAAAACTTATATAAAAACGGATATTTAAAGGGTGTTTCCCATTAGAAAAAATGCCGTTGGCCTGTAGCCAGCAATTTAAGAAGAAGGGATTGTTTTTCGAGAAAGGGGAGCTTTTTTTACCTCCTTGGTTGACCCGACCTAAGGCGTGACATAGAAATTATGGCTGTGGCTGTTCCGATGATATCAAAAAAGGCATGTGTGTGTGTTTAAGTATATGAAACAGAAAAAGGTCAACGCAATAAATTTTGAAAGATTGAAAATATAGTAAGCAGGTGATGTAAACTGGGAGCGTTAAAAAAAACAACGATACCCACTGTTGATGTCAAATTGTCCGAAAATGATGTCCAATTCTATGAGAGTGATGAAACCGTCTTTGTCGTGATCGCCTCGCTTGAACATCGTGATGAAGGGGAGCTGGTACAGGGTCTATAAAAACAAGGTTCACGAAATCATTCTAAAACACCATTCCCATACCTAGATCGATCTAACAGGATCGATCCATCTCCGAGTGGTTTCTCGCTAAATTGCTCTTAGCTTAAGCAGCTTACATGTCTAACGCGCCTACTGAAGCTGCTAAACGATAGTTAATTACCCCTTAACAACTTGAAAAGGCGTGTCCGACATCACAGCGGCTTGATCTGAAAGCAATTCAGTGAGAAACCCTTAGGAGAAGGGTCCATGTTGTTGAATCGATTTAGGTATGGGAATGGAGTCTCAGCGAAATGGGAAAAACGCATGAAAGAAATACTTTGTAAAATATGGGATTGCACATGTATTTTGATTGTACAACCTTGACCGTCAACATTCAATTTTTTGTAGAACGTGGCAAGGAAAATGGGACTAATCATCAGCGATAAATCCTACTTTACAAACGCATTTGAGTAAAAAAATATTTAAAAAAATTTAATTAATTAATAAAATAAAATAAAAACTATACACAAATACGTCATATTCACACATGTTTCGAGTTTCAATCGACCTGACTGAAACCCTTTGCCCTCGTTGGACTTCGCTTGGTTTTTATGCTTAGAAACTTTGAATCATTCTGACATGCAAAACCACCTCCCTCCTTTACTTTTTAGAGTGACTCATCGTATAGCAGAAAGTCACTAGTAAGGTCGGTATAAAATGGCAAAGGCTACATATGGTTTCAATGAAGATTACGCGACCTCACATGGCCCATCAAATACAAAATTAGTGAAATGATAAAAGTTAATAGTTGCGTTCGAATGGGTGTTATTAAAGATTTACATGTACGTTATCTGACGACCAGATAGGCTCTCGGAGACAATTGCCGTAACAATGTCATTCGCTAAATTTGCTTATGGTTTTGAAAATGAGATCTAACCAACAAACTCAGTAATACATCTTTGATTAACTGAAGCATTATAAAACTAGTCAAGGATTAAATTAAACTCATTCCCAGAAAACTCAAATACTGATAAGTTGCAGGCTGAATTATCTTGGTGTGAACAGACATTTACGTACCTGTTTAAGAGACAACAGGAACTCTCTGTCGTTGAGCTCTCCATTTTCTGGAATGAGAATTTATTACGCATAAATAGATAGATTCTTTAAGCTAGTTTTTGTGGCTGGCCATTGTATTGAAGATTTTAGATAGCCTCTATAGGCATGAAATTTCTATTAACAGGAGTCCTGTACTTCCGCTGTTACCTCCCCCACAAATTTACTCAAAGTTTATACAAGGTGTTACTTGGACTACATACAGTGCATAAACAGCACGATTCCTTTTACAGATTACTGAAACCAGATATGCCTAAATACGGTGAAAACTTTATGTAATTAGCTGCAGAAATAAAACTTGAAAACAATAACATATTTCCGTTGTTAAATATGAGTAAAAATATCATTTGACAAGACTTTTGTTTTCAAAAAGCCAGCTAGCGTCACTGATTGACAGAATAAGAAAATAAAAACCTAACCAGGATTTTTTGCTAAGGGGGTACAAGGGTTTGTTTAGTTTCCCTGGTCGTAATTTTTTAAGCGAGAAGGGGAAAGGGGATGCGAAGTCCTCCGTAACTAAGGTGGTGGCACGTGCTCCCTGTGCTCTCCTCTAACATGCGACAGTCCTGATTCTAAATACATATATCATACACGTATTAAACGGGTCAACACTTACTGTCACTGTCCAGTTGCGCATGCAGCATCTTGATGTCTACGGCCGTGAACTGTCCGTCCTTGTTCCTGTCCAGGACATCATACATGGCGTTGGGGGTGCCGGGATCGCCGCCAAATGTTTGGACCCACGTGGAGGTAAACTCGCCCTTGGTCACTACATCATCACCTAGTTAGTAGCAGTTGAAAGGAATGTTTGAAGTTGTCCCCCAAAGTCATTTTTTCTGTTTTCATGTATCCCGCAAGGCCACTCGTCTGCCCTAGTACAGACTTTATTTGAGCCTTTGATGGCGATATTAAAATCCCTATACTCTATGTGAGTTACAACACCAATCACAGCAATACTACTACTAATAATAATACTAATACTATTAGATGGTGTCGATCGTATATCCCCGCACTTTCCCACTTTGTAAAGAGCAGCTCACCCTCAGGGACCCCATTTCCTTGATATCAATGCCTGGGTCCTATATGTCTAATTATTGAAATAATATCCATAATATCAACATAAAAGGCAGCCTGAAATAAATTTAATGTAAAATAAATCATCCCCGAGGGACAGCCCCCCCCCATCCTCCCCCCCCCATCCTCCACATAAATTATGCCTGGCCCATCAACATCCCTGATAACAGGTCTGTCAATCTCAGAAGTTTTAACTTCATTCTAATGGTATAGGATGACAAAGCAAAAGTCACAATGGAAATTTAAAATTCCAAAGTGACCATGAACATCCCTGATGACAGGACTATCAATTCTCTAAGTTTCAACTTTCTCGCGCCAATTATCAGAAATTAGCAGAAATTACAAAAAATGAGAAAAGAATTTAGAATCGACCACCACCAGGGACAGACCAACTCAGAAGGGTCCACTCAAATGGTCTAAGGGGAGATAGCGGAAATTGCCAACAAACAGACGGACGCACGGACACAAGGACGGGTGCGATAACATGAACCCCGACTTATGTCACATGAGTTCTTGAAGTACTGGACCCCGTATCTCGAAAGCATCGCGTATTGCGAATAACGATATCACATAGAGGCTACAAGGTATTATATGGGGCGAGTATGGGCGAGTTATGGAATCGAGACGCTTGCGCACGGTCGCAATGCGCGATGCTTTCGAGATACGGGGCCTGGGCTCCATATCTCGAAAGGTTCGCTATGTTGCGCACGTGCGCAAGTATATCGATCCCATAACTGATTCTTTCGAAATACGGGGCCATGGAATCGAGACGCTTGCGCACGTGCGCAACATAGCGAACCTTTCGAGATACGGAGCCCTGGTCTTTGTGCATTCATTCGTACATTGTACGTTCAGGGACAAGCAGTTTTCTACTAGATAACTGTTGTTTAACCTGTGAATGATATCTGCACTTGTAGAAAAAATACCAATACGAATAAAATTTTTAATGTATGGATAAAAGAATGTACACGTACAAATGAACGAATGGAAACATAGATGGGCAAAATACTCATATGAATAAAAGGGTAAATGAATACGTGTGTTCATATATGGAATGGATAAATTAACAAATGTATCACACAAAGATAAAAAACACTTTCCCAGTCCTACCGTTCCTGTCATATTTTTTCCTGTACGCTGTCATTTCCCTCAATGTCACCAACCCATCATCGTTGACATCAATCGCTGTATACAGGATGTTGGCAAGTTTCGTGTCACTGACAGCACTACAAAGCAGAACTACTGGGTTATTCTACCGGATAACTATATTAGAACAGCTAATGTAAAGGCGGATCCAGGCTGTGGGTTCCCAAGCCTCTGGCCAAGAACTTTCTGTGCTTCTCAAATGTATTTTTAAAGTGTTTCTAATCTTTGTTTCCCCCCTCTATTTCAGCGCCCCCCCCCTCTTCAACCCGCTAACACCTCACCACTGTAATAACATACTGGATCCACCTGTTAGGGTAAATACTACTTGACGATACTGCGGGTAGTAAATAGGGTTATAAGGACTATCAAACAGTGCAATACATTCACTTGCTCCCTATCGCTATTAGCGCTACAAGCAGCATAGATGTTGGACCACTATACTTGCCATCACCCCCACACCACAAGCAAGGACATACAGTACATCACTTCAGATAATATTTCAATTTCGGTTTCATTGTCGCCTGCTGAACGGATTTTGTACTTTAAAGGTTTTATTCCATTTGTTTCCAGCTTTCTTAAAGGCAATGTTAACACTACAATTACTTGTTCTTTAAGCTGCATCGTACTCAAAGGCAACTCCCACATTAACTTCAGTCATCGTTTCAAAGAAAATATGAACTTTCTACTGTTATGCTCTGGCTACGCCTAGTCACTATTCTGATTTTGTGCAAGTTTGAGAGAATGAGAAGCAAAAGAAAACAAATATAAAATACATTTCACAGTGACATTACGAACGTAAAATACAATGACGGTAAGCGCCCATCCCAGAGAAGCCGCAAGATGGTGTCTCTAATTGCGCATGCGCAACGCCTTACCATTTGTATCAAAGTTATTCAGGGAAGTCCTCATCTCCGCAATGGTTATGATGCCATCTTGGTTAATGTCTATTGCAGCGTAGAGGATGTTCGCCAATTTATCCTTCTTACCTATGGCCTGACTGATAAAATAAAGCCACCAAAGCCCCGTTGAAGCAATTTATCTTTGCAATGTAAATTGAAGAAATTATGTTGCAATTCAAATGGCACGTGCTTAGCCCGACACACTTTTGAAAAAAAAAAAAACAAAAAAACAATAAAAAGCTATAATTCAACGTATTATTAGCATTAGCATTATTATAAGCAAGTGCTGACTTTCTTTATTTGGTGTTATTACGTTGGCAACATATTTTACACGTACAACAGATATACATTCATTTAATGACTGGCATGTGTCATACTGACAGCTCTAATAGAGTTANACCTCATTTGGCGTGGGGTTCGGGGCCGTCGCGGCCCGCTGAAGGGCCCCAAATTTTTTTATATTTTAGAGGGCGAACTGTGTCATTTGGTACGGTTTAGAACTATGATATAGCTTGGAAATAATTCGTAATTTTGTCCATGGATATAGCTAGTCAAAATTTTAATTTCAAGAGGGGACAAGAAATCAAGTCCTGACCCCCCCCCCCCCCCTGCAACTTCGGATTAATTGACAGAGTACAGATAACTGTTCATTAACAAATACAAGCAAACAAACTAAAACCAAAAGTAGCAGCCTTCAATGCCCCCACCTTTCTTTTTCTTCTTCACCCACTTGATCTATTTTTTTTTAATTATCTTCATATACTTCGGTTTATGTTTGTGGTACTTTTGCAAAGACCCAGACTGTTCGCTATCTATCGCGCTCTGAACTTGGTGAAGGCGAGAATTTATGCCATTACCATCAAGGTATAAAAAACTATAAACAGTTGTCATGTTTGTTCATTTTGGTGTTAGACGAAAATTTCGGATATTAAGATATCTTCATATTGTCGTTTCGTAAGTCGTGTCATTTTATTTATCTATTTTTATATATCCCTTTATTTATTTACTTAATTAAACCTTAACTCTTCGTTTTGTGACTCATTCTATGCTTTCTCGTTAAGGGTTTCTAATACTGCTCATTACGCAAATTTCAATGCTGGCTTGGATGCCCCTGTCATAAGGTCTTGCTTTAAAAAGGCTACCATATATATACATATTCTTTTTTCTGGGGGGTAGGTAACACGAAATACTTACATTGGGTACACGACAAACAAAAAGAAAAAAATAAATCAATATATAAGACGAAGAGCATTTTGAGAAATTTGCGCTTTGTAACAAATAAGTCGTGATACCTGCAATTCTGTCAAATTATGGTATGTCCAATGGAAATACCAATGCTCACAAGGCCTTCTACACAATTTTATATAATAGAGCTTCAAGGATACTTCTATTTGCTTCACTTTTCTTGTTGCACACTTTCACACTGTGACATTTATATATGAAATATATATAATAGGCATGTTTGGAAGTAATGGGCTAATTTTTAGCCAAACTTATCATTATAGTACCATGCAAAGATGTTACATAATTTTATGACTTCAAAACTATAGACGTAGATAATCGCCGGAGTCTTTTATTTCCCTTACAAACACACACTAAAGACTCTCTCTCTCTCTCTCTCTCATTACCTCCGCCAAGGAGGTTATGTTTTCACCCCTGTTTGTCTGTTTGTTTGTCTGTCTGTCTGTCATCAACATAACTCAAAAAGTTATGGACCGATTTTGATGAAAATTTCAGGAACTGTTAGAAGTGGGCCAAGGAAGAGATGATTAGTTTTTGGTGGTGATCCGGATCAATAATCAATCAATAATCAATAATAATAAAAAAAACGCTGCCTAAGCGGAGGCCTGCGCTCTCGGAGTGCTTTTCTACTTGTAGTTTCCCATGTTTTTAATATTGTGTAGATTTGCAATTGTTTCTACATGTATTTATTTCATACATCTCAGTGCATGGGGCGAAATTAATTTCAATAATATTCTTTGCGAATTCATAACCTTACTTTCTTTGTAGCAGAAGAAATGTAAAGACAATTTCGAATCGTTTTGATAAAATAAAAGTCCCTTTTACGACCACTTCTGCTCTTAATGTCACTCTAAAATGTTTCTCTTACTGCCTCACTAGGCAAAATAAGTTGTAGAGCATTAAATCAATTGAGTTTTCAATATAAAAAGTATTTCTGAAATACATACTAGAGATGACATAAAGAAAACCAACTCAGGGAATATTTAATCAATGGGTAAATTTGTTATTGAAAACATTCCAAACATCCGTGACAAAAATACAACGAAGGAGGTCAAGCCATCGTGCAATAAAGTCAGATTCTATCAAACTCTGATGTCTTTGCTCTTCAAAGTCCTCAGTGATCTACCAGTGACATCGATTTTTTTCTTATCGGGGACCACGAGAGATCTGGGACATGATCTGAAACGGAAACAAAAAACGGAATTCAAAATAGATAACACCACGATTCCTAGACAAATATAAACGATATATAACATGTACGTCCTTGTAGAAGATATCTGTTGCATGTAAGAACGTTTCAAAGTTTTTAGTGGTAGAGAAGGATTTGCACCTTCGAGATGTTGTGTGGAATTTTAATAATTGAGGATATATACCAGGATATCCGACAAAGAAGCAATGGTCTGATATTTCACTATCCTCTCTCGTATTTCCTCTCTCTCTCTCTCTCTCTCTCTCTCTCTCTCTGTGTATGTGTGCATGTGTGTGTGTATTATACTTACGTTCATCCACTCGGATACAAATTCTGTCTCACTAAGTTTACTGTCACCTGCGTGATAATGAAAAAAAGAAAGTGCACAAAATCAACGATAACATCATAATGAATATTTTTGCAATACCATCTTATTGATTTTTAAAAAAAATCTAGTTGTGATACGAAGACGGAATTGGTGTGCAGTTTCAGCACAAGAAGCAGAATTCCATGGTTTATTGGCTAACTCTGCACTTTTCTCTAATGTCTTCACACAGAAATGACGTCATCAGGCGGCCTCTGGCAAGATGCACTATCTACCTGTATATAACATTACTTACCGTCATAGTCCATGTTTTTGAAGATCTTAACAATGTCATTCTCCCTGCCAAGCACATCGTCATGGTTGAGGTCGAAAACGTCGTATAGGCGCTTGGCAGTATTCATGTCACTGTATCCTCTGGATGTCCACGTGGTCAGAAACTCCTCGGCGCTGATTGTGCCGTCGCCTGTCAGAAATAAAATAAAATAAAATAAAATAAAATAAAATAAAATAAAATAAAGAACATAAAATCTTATATAAAAACGGATATTTAAAGGGTGTTTCCCATTAGAAAAGATGCCGTTGGCCTGTAGCCAGCAATTTAAGAAGAGGGGATTGTTTTTCGAGAAAGGGGAGCTTTTTTACCTCCTTGGTTGACCCGACCTAAGGCGTGACATAGAAATTATGGCTGTGGCTGTTCTGTTGATATAACAAAAGGCATGTGTGTGTGTTTACGTCTTTAAGTATATGAAACAGAAAGAGGTCAACGCAATAAATTTTGAAAGATTGAAAATATAGTAAGCAAGTGATGTAAACTGGGAGCGTTAAAAAAAAACAACGATACCCACTGTTGATGTCAAATTGTCCAAAAATGATGTCCAATTCTATGAGAGTGATGAAGCCGTCTTTGTCGTGATCGCCTCGCTTGAACATCGTGATGAAGGGGAGCTGGTACAGGGTCTATAAAAACAAGGTTCACGAAATCATTCTAAAACACCATTCCCATACCTAGATCGATCTAACAGCTTACAAGAACGCGCCTACTGAAGCTGCTAAACGATAGTTAATTACCGCTTAACAGCTTGAATATGCGTGTCATCACAGCGGCTTGATCTGAAAGCAATTCAGTGAGAAACCCTTAGGAGATGGGTCCATGCTGTTGAATCGATCTAGGTATGGGAATGGAGTCTAAGCGAAATGGGAAAAACGCGTAAAAGAAATACTTTGTAAAATTTGGGATTGCACATGTATTTTGATTGTACAACCGTCAACATTCAATTTTTTGTAGAACGTGGCAAGGAAAATGGAACTAATCATCAGCGATAAATCCTACTTTACAAACGCATCTGAGTAAAAAAATATTAAAAAAATTAATTAATAAATATAATAAAATAAAAACTACACACAAATACGTCATATACACACATATTTCGAGTTTCAATCGACCTGACTGTAACCCTTTGCCCTCGTTGGACTTCGCTTGGTTTTTATGCTTAGAAACTTTCAATCATTCTGACATGCAAAACCACCTCCTTCCTTTACTTTTTAGAGTGACTCATCATCGTATAGCATAATTCACTAGTAAGGTCGGTATAAAATGGTAAAGGCTACACATGGTTTCAATGAAGATTACGCGACCTCACATGGCCCATCAAATACAAAATTAGTGAAATGATAAAAGTTTATAGTTGTGTTCGAATGGGCGTTATTAAAGATTTACATGTACGTTATCTGACGACCAGATAGTCTCCATAGCTTTCTCGGAGACAATTGCCGTAACAATGTCATTCGCTAAATTTGCTTATGATTTTGAAAATAAGATCTAACCAATAAACTCAGTAATATATCTTTGATTAACTGAAGCATTATAAAACTAGTCAAGGATTAAATTAAACTTATTCCCAGAAAACTCAAATACCGACAAGTTCCAGGCTGAATTATCTTGGTGTGAACAGACATTTACGTACCTGTTTAAGAGACAACAGGAACTCTCTGTCGTTGAGCTCTCCATTTTCTGGAATGAGAATTTATTACGCATAAATTGATAGATTCTTTAAGCTACTTTTTGTGGCTGGCCATTGTATTGAAGATTTTAGATAGCCTCTATAGGCATTAAATTTCTATTAATAGGAGTCCTGTACTTCCGCTGTTACCTCCCCCACAAATTTACTCAAAGTTTATACAAGGTGTTACTTGGACTACATACAGTGCATAAACAGCACGATTCCTTTTACAGATTACTGAAACCCGATATGCCTAAATACGGTGAAAACTTTATGTAATTAGCTGCAGAATAAAACTTGAAAACAATAACATATTTCCGTTGTTAAATATGAGTAAAAATATCATTTGACAAGACTTTTGTTTTCAAAAAGCCAGCTAGCGTCACTGATTGACAGAATAAGAAAATAAAAACCTAACCAGGATTTTTGCTAAGGGGGTGCAAGGGTTTGTTTTGTTTCCCTGGTCGTACTTTTTTAAGCGAGAAGGGGAAAGGGGATGCGAAGTCCTCCGTAACTAAGGTGGTGGCACGTGCTCCCTGTGTTCTCCTCTAACATGCGACAGTCCTGATTCTAAATACATATATCATACATGTATTAAACGGGTCAATACTTACTGTCACTGTCCAGTTGCGCATGCAGCATCTTGACGTCTACGGCCGTGAACTGTCCGTCCTTGTTCCTGTCCAGGACATCATACATGGCGTTGGGGGTGCCCGGATCGCCGCCAAATGTTTGGACCCACGTGGAGGTAAACTCGCCCTTGGTTACCACGTCATCACCTAGTTAGTAGTAGTTGAAAGGAATGTTTGAAGTTGTCCCCCAAAGTCATGTTTTCTTTGTTCATGTATCCCGCAAGGCCACTCGTCTGCCCTAGAACAGACTTTATTTGAGCCCCTGATGGCGATATTAAAAGCCCTATACTCTATGTGAGTTACAACACCAATCACAGCAATACTACTACTACTAATAATAATACTAATACTATTAGATGGTGTCGATCGTATATCCTCGTACTTCCCCACTTTGTAAAGAGCAGCTCACCCTCAGGGACCCCATTTCCTTGATATCAATGCCTGGGTCCTATATGTATAATTATTGAAATAATATCCATAATATCAACATAAAAGGCAGCCTGAAATAAATTTAATGTAAAATAAATCATCCCCGAGGGACAGCCCCCCCATCCTCTCCCCCCCCCCATCCTCCACATAAATTATGCCTGGCCCATCAACATCCCTGATGACAGGTCTGTCAATCTCAGAAGTTTTTAACTTCATTCTAATGGTATAGGATGCCAAAGCAAAAGTCACAATGTCGAAAACATTGCACCCCAAGGGCCAGCCCTACCAAAAGGAAATTTAAAATTCCAAAGTGACCATGAACATCCCTGATGACAGGACTATCATTTCTCTAAGTTTCAACTTCCTCGCGCCAATTATCTGGAATATTTTAGCAGAAATTACAACTTCCTCGCGCCAATTATCTGGAATATTTTAGCAGAAATTACAACTTCCTCGCGCCAATTATCTAGAATATTTTAGCAGAAATTACAAAACATGTGAAAAGAATTTAGAATCGACCACCACCAGGGACAGACCAACTCAGAAGGGTCCACTCAAATGGTCTATGGGGAGACAGCGGAAGTTGCCAACAAACAGACATACGCACGGACACAAGGACGGGTGGGATAACATGAACCCCCACTTATGTCACATGAGTGCTTGAAGTAGGCCTACTGGTCTTAGTGCATTCATTCGTACATTGTACGTTCAGGGACAAGCAGCTTTCTACTAGATAACTGTTGTTTAACCTGTGAATGATATCTGCACTTGTAGAAAAAATACCAATACGAATAAAATTTTTAATGTATGGATAAAAGAATGTACACGTACATGTAAAAATAAACGAATCGAAACATAGATACATAAATGGGCAAAATACTCATATGAATAAAAGGATAAATGAATACGTTTGTTCATATATGGAATGGATAAATTAACAAATGTATCACACAAAGATAAAAAACACTTTCCCAGTCCTACCGTTCCTGTCATATTTTTTCCTGTACGCTGTCATTTCCCTCAATGTCACCAACCCATCATCGTTGACATCAATCGCTGTATACAGGATGTTGGCAAGTTTCGTGTCACTGACAGCACTACAAAGCAGAACTACTGGGTTATTCTACCGGATAACTATATTAGAACAGCTAATGTAAAGGCGGATCCAGGTTGTGGGTTCGCAAGCCTCTGGCCAAGAACTTTCTGTGCTTCTCAAATGTATTTTTAAAGTGTTTCTAATCTTTGTTTTCCCCCCTCTATTTCAGCCCCCCTCCCGTCCTTCAACCCGCTAACACCTCACCACTGTAATAACATACTGGATCCACCTGTTAGGGTAAATACTACTGGACGATACTTCGGGTAGTAAATAGGGTTATAAAGACTATCAAACAGTGCAATACATTCACTTGCTCCCTATCGCTATTAGCGCTACAAGCAGCATAGATGTTGAACCAATATACTTGCTATCACCCCCACACCACAAGCAAGGACACACAGTACATCACTTCAGATAAGTTTCCAATTTCGGTTTCATTGTTGCCTGCTAAACGGATTTTGTACTTTAAAGTTTTTATTCCATTTGTTTCCAGCTTTCTTAAAGACAATGTTAACACTACAATTACTTATTCTTTAAGCTGCATCGTACACAAAGGCAACTCCCAGATTAGCTTAAGTCATCATTTCAAAGAAAATATGGTCTTTCTACTGTTGTGCTTTGGCTACGACTAGTCACTATTTTGAACGTCTGATTTTGTGCAAGTTTGAGAGAATGAGAAGCAAAAGAAAACAAATATAAAATACATTTCACAGTGACATTACGAACGTAAAATACAATGACGGTAAGCGCCCATCCCAGAGAAGCCGCAAGATGGTGTCTCTAATTGCGCATGCGCAACGCCTTACCATTTGTATCAAAGTTATTCAGGGAAGTCCTCATCTCCGCAATGGTTATGATGCCATCTTGGTTAATGTCTATTGCAGCGTAGAGGATGTTCGCCAATTTATCCTTCTTACCTATGGCCTGACTGATAAAATAAAGCCACCAAAGCCCCGTTGAAGCAATTTATCTTTGCAATGTAAATTGAAGAAATTATGTTGCAATTCAAATGGCACGTGCTTAGCCCGACACACTTTTGAAAAAAAAAAAAAACAAAAAAACAATAAAAAGCTATAATTCAACGTATTATTAGCATTAGCATTATTATAAGCAAGTGCTGACTTTCTTTATTTGGGGTTATTACATTGGCAACATATTTTACACGTACAATAGATATACATTCATTTAATGACTGGCATGTGTCATACTGACAGCTCTAATAGAGTTAAGATATACATATGGGTTGGAATATTCAGAAGATTTTGAACAAAAGGCATTTTCTGGTCATTTCATCAGGACATAATATCGTCAGACAACTTATCGAATATACAAGTATATATTTGGAAGAAATAAGAAGCTGTTGTCCTTTGATTATGCATGTACATGTATGTATCAAAAGCGCCAGGCGGCTGAAGCGTATATAGCAAACCTTTAGCATTTGGCATTTTAATAGCACAGAACAAGCTAATGAAGTGACGGATCCGGTGTGACAGCAAGTTTCAACATATCTTAGTAGGAAAAAGTCAGTATAGATCCAAAATTATGTGAAATACATTTGTACAAATGAAAATTTGCTTTCCCCTCGCATATCTTATCTTTGAAATAAGTCAATTACTATACCGAAATACAAGCACAAAAACAAACTTTTATATGTTATGTTTAAATGTTTGAAACCTATGTTTAGAAAAATAGAAAAAGAACGCTAGAAAGAGAAAATTATACATGGTGGTGTAGATCATTGTTATTTCGGAACGAACTTCACCCTGTTGAGCTCTATAAAACGTTTCATAACTTGGCTTACCTGTAATACACCGAATTATTTTAAGGTAGAGTTAAAAAGAGTTACAGGTAGTTCTCATAACTTACCCACAAGCAAAGCCGACCAGGAACGTCAAAATAGCGATTCGAAGCATCATGGCAACTTCCTAATTTCTGAATTCCTGACGCCTCAGAACCAAGAGTTTGATATGTGTGATTTAATATGTCGTGATCTGTGGCAGTCACGTCGTTACGGCAGTCACGGTGTTACGTCAGTGCGTGGAATGTGCACGTATTAAGGGGTGCGGAGAGGTCCGGAAATGAACAGGTGTAGGTTTAAGTAATCCAATCCGCACGCACCCCCTTTATCGTGTCTGTATGTATATGCTAAATTTAAGCACCGGTCTTATATGCTGTAAGTGATGCTTATATGCCTTTTACATGTATTCTTAGTGTTTGGGATTTTTTCATAAGACGTAAAGGACATCACTACTAATGACGGATTTACGGCTAGACTCATGAAATGGGACTGAAAGGGGAAAATTCCGTTTTTTTTCCTCAATTCTGCATTTATTTTCACGGTCTGAAAAACCACAGCACCCTGGATCGTGGCGCATGCCAAATGTTCTAAAGTATGCTTGAAACAGTACTCACATACTTGATACAATGTGGCAGGGTGTGGAGATGTACACTTCCCTTCGCACGTATTGAAATATAATAATAATAATAATATGATGTGCGCGCTCGACATCATTAGTGTACCGTCTGTACATGTACGATGAACGTGCCCTTTCAATATCAAGACTAAACTCTGCAGATCGATAGTTTAAAGGTGAATGGGTTAATTTACGACCACATTTCTACCATGGCTCGTAAGAGCTTGCAAAGCTCTGCGAATCAAATGCAACAGTGCCACATATCACAATCATTCTCTTGCCCTACGATATTTCAGTCCACTAGCAGACAATGTTCAACCTGCTATAGCATAAAAACAGCTGTAATTACTCTACAGTCTGCACTTTGTTAACCTTGGATTATCGTTAAGAGTTTATTAACCAATTTGCAGTCTGGGGGATAATACATTTTTGTATGATAGATTCAGAAAACTGATTGTTTAAGGGATTAAACATACTATGTTTAAGGTGTCCGCTACTAGCATGCCCAGTATTTTAAAGTAATCAGTAAACAAGGAATGACTCTTATAGACTACGAAGGTTTCCTCATATGTCTAATATGAAATTAATCCTAAGATTTTCAGTGTATTTTGCAGTTGCGTGAGTCCTTGTCTTGGTATCTGTACAGGTAATACAAATACAACGTACGAGTTTGAGTTCCTATTAAAAAAGTACGAGCTGAAAACGTTGTTGTAAAAAGTGTTAGTAAAAAGAAACTAAATGTAACTTGCCAAACTCGAAACACCTGCCGCCCAGGACGATCCACTTTCAGACATAGGTCAAAATGACCCTCACCTATTATTGAGGCCCCTTCATGTATATCTAAATCACTGTGTCTGGCACCTAGCACTGTAAAACTGAAAACAACATTCCCTAGCACGAAAGCACTATAAGAGTCTATAAAACAATTAAAATAAAAAAAATTGACTATTTATTGCTTTTTTGTGATATTTCTATTTCTGTCATAAACGTGTACTTTGTACAATGTACAAAGAATTAGGATGAGGGTTTTCTTCATTCTGTTTAACTAATATTACTCTTTAGTCTCTTTCAAAACGTTTGTGCCAGAATAAAAATAAAACAATTAACGCGAAAATGATATAGACACTGGTAAAATATCAAGCGTGTGGTTCAGACTGCTCCAATGTAATGCATATGCTTGAAGCAAATTCAAATGCGAACAAAGTTTTTCTATTGAGTATTGAACATGTTGAAACGTTATTTGAAAAAAAAAAAGATATGGTCTCTAACTGGTATAAAATCAAGCGTGTTAAAACCTACACGTTTTTCATAAATCGATATATTGTCGAGTTGCTGCTGCAAAAGTGAGTTTAGCTGCCGAAGCGGTATTCTATTCTATATTGGTTCCATGGGATTCGAAAATAGGGCGTTGACGTAGACGCTTGGGGGGTATAGGTGGAAGAGTGGACATGCCCCCTTATTTTTTGCCACTTTGTCAGTCTTGAGCACAGGAAGTGGTGGAGGAGAGGGGGTAATTTATCTCCTACTCCCGTCCTTTTTCTAACTGTCTTTTCAATGGATATTTCCACATATTTTATTCGAATCCTTCGAGTCATGTTTAAAAAAAAAAACATCTTACTATGATTGAAATAAAGGGGGAATGATCCCTTCTACGTAATTAAATATATATGTAGTTTTATTAAAATTTCATCTTAGTACGCAAAAATTAAATTGGTACTCTTCTCCAAAATCATAGTCCAAAAACGCAGCTTATAGAAAAAATAATGTTTCAGAGGACATGTTTTGTCTTAATCAGTGTTGGCTCATGGCAGATTTTGAACAAACATGTGCGCGCACACACATTTAGAATTTAACTACATCAAAATCGCCTATTATGTAGGCTCCTACGTGATCTAATTATCACTATATACTGATGAAAAACGAATTACAGATAAACACAAAGACGTCTGAAAGGAAATAAAGCCAAATCACGAACTCTCATTCCCTAAGGTGTAGCACGTATATCAAAGCTTCCTTGATTTGACATGCATTGCAAGGGTTGGCCGGTGTGACAGTTTTATAATTATGGGATAGAGCATTGGGTCTAACTAAAAATGCAGGGAGTTCTCGACTTTGAACCAGTAAAAGAGAATGAAAACGGTTTGACAAAGACAATGTATCTGTTTTCCGGTAGATAGCTGACCATCGTATTAATAACATCTCTCACTTTTGAAAAGTTTTACGATTCCTTTGTAGCATGTTTAGTTTAGAACCCCGACATGCTTTGAATTTTTGGCCTGTTTCGTTTACTTGAAATTTTAAGCAAATACTAAAGGGGTATCACCAGTCTAATGCCTAGTGCATGCTCGAACTCGATTAAATGGTTTTTGTATTTAATTAGAAAATGATATGTACATTTGTATAAAATCAAGCTCGTTTCTATCCAGGGCGCATATCCTTGATTAGAGAGCCATATATACATGTAGATGAATTGTTGCCACAGACTAGTGAGCTATTATTGGAAAAAAGTGACTGCAGTCTAATGGATTAAAATAAAAATTAAAATAATAGGAAGCAAATTCCAAATTGTGTTACTTTTGGAATAACAATAAGAGTTGCGTGATTTCATTTATGACCTTTAAGGAAGTCCACATGCACGTATTTAGATAGCTGTATTCTCAAATATGAAATGGGGGATTGACTTAGCAACATTGTCATTCTTGAGCACAGGAAGTGATGGAGGAGAGGGGGTACAAATATTTCTCCTACTTCTGTCCTTGTTCTAATTGTATTTTGAAGGGATATTTCTGCATATTAAAATTGATTCCTTCCAGGCATGTGAAAAAACCCGTCTCACTATGATTGGCATAAGGGGTGAATGATCCCTTGCAGTTTAATTTAAAATTTCATATTTGGTACACAAAAAATGTATTGGTACTCAAACATCATAGTCCAAAAACGCACCTTATAGAAATAATACTGTTTGAGAGGACACGTTTCGAATTTAACTAGATCAAAATCACCTGTTATACAGGATCCAAAGAGATCTTACTCTCACTAAATTATGATGAAAAAACGAATTACAGATAAACACAAAGACGTCTGAAAGGGAATAAAGCCAAATCACGGACAATCAAACCATAAGGTGTAGCACGTATGCCATGGATTCCGTAATTTGACATGCATTGCAAAGATTGGCCAGTGTGACTGTTTTATTATCATGGGATAGATCTTTGAGTCTTTTATTAAAATAAAAATGCAGACTTTAAACCAATGGAAGAGAATGAAAACGATTACACTAAGATAGAATTTAACTTTTTGAAGAAGATAACTGACCATCATTTTATACACCCCTAACCATTGAAAACATTCGGGATTTTTTTTCTTTAGTTAAGTACCCTTATATGCTTTGAAATGATTTTACCTGTTTCTTTTACGTGGACGTTTAAGCAAATACAAAGGAGACTTGTTGCTATGCGTAGAAGAACATAAAAATAAATAAATAAATAAATAAATAAATAAATAAATAAATAAATAGATTAAAAAAAAACATTCTCCTGCTAGTAGAGATCAAACTTGTAAAATAAGTAAAACTTTAGTTAGCTCAGCTTTAGATATTTGGCATGACGAAAACCGGATCAAATATTAGTCGACAATTCAGACATTACCAATCTAATGCCTGAAGCATATTCAAATTCGAAAAAAAGCGTTTTTAAAATGGAAACGTTCTTGAAAATGATATGTACAGTGTGCACTTGTATAAAATCAAGCCACACATGTCTAGTAGTAGATAGACATATATACATGTAAATAAGATGTTGCCATTAAAGCTAATAAATGTATACTGATAAATTGTGTAAAGGAATAAAATAAAATTTTAAATAAAGTCCAAATTGTTTTACTTCTGGAATAATGCACTTTTCGAATTAAACGAGATCAAAATCAACTGTAAGATAGGTTCCTTCGTGATCTAACTACCACCAAAGAATAAGGAAAAACTAATTACTGATAAACACGAAGACATCTGCAAAAAAATAAAGCCAAACCATAAGGTGTAGCACGTATGAAGAAGGGTCCTTGATTTGACAAGCATTGCAAGGATTGGCCAGTGTGACTGTTTTATTATTATGGGATAGATCTTTAGGTCTAAATAAAAATGCTGGGTGTTCACGACTGTGTACCGGTGAAGGAAAATAAAAGCGATTGGACCAAGATAGAATTTAACTATTTTGCTAGTCGAAATCATACTTGTAAAACACGTAAAACCATGGTTATAGCATTAATTGTTTGACATTTGATGAAATCCGTATCAAATAAAGGCAAGTAACTCAGACATCACCAATCAATTACCTGAAGCATATTCAAACTCGAAAAATATTTTTGTATTGAAAAATGAGTGAGACGTCATTGAAAATTGAAAAGTTCACTTGTATAAAATCAAGCGCGTTTTTAGCCACGCATATCTATAAGCAGATAGGCTTACACATGTACACATATATTCATGTAGATGGGTTGTTGCCACAAAAGCTAGTAAATGTATATTTGTAAAAATAACTGCGGTCTAAGGGAATAAAATACAATTTATACTGAAAGGAAACAAAGTCCAAATTGTTTTACCTCTGGAATAAGAATAAGAGTTATTTGATTTCAATTATGACCTTCTCA